TTGGAAGTTGCCGGCCCCTCCCAACCTGGAAGAGGAAGGGAAGGGACTGCGAACAAAAAGTGCAGGGCAGAGAGACCAGTAAGTCTTTGGTTTCAGAGTAACAGCCATGTTAGTCTGTATCCACAAAAAGAAAAGGAGTAATTGTAGCACCTTAGACTCCTTTTCTTTTCTGCAGAAAGTCTTAAGGCTTCCTGAAGCTGTGTCCCCAGCTTCTAGGCTCCCCCCCCGCAAATCCCAGGAGACCCATTGCTGTGCCCTTATCTTCTACCTCCCCCAGCACCCAAGGGCCCCTTCCCTGTGCCCCCAGGGAACCCCCTCCCTGTGCCCCCCTGCTACCAGCCCCCCAAGGCCCTCCCTGTGCCTCTAGGTCCCAGCCCACCCAGGTCCCAGGGGACACCTCCCTGTGCCCCCAATAGTCCTCCCTATGCCTCTAGATCCCAGCCCAGGGGGTCTGTTTCCCCAAAGCCTGGGGGACCCCTCCCTCTGCTCCCAGTGACTCCTCCCTGTGCCCACATCCCCACTCCATGCCCACACAGCTCACAGGAGGCCCCTCCCTCTGCCCCACAGAGGCCAGCCACTACTCCATAAAAAAAAGAAGCTCTACAGTCTCACCCCCCACAAACCCACCTTGGAGACCTTCTACATGCTTGCAAAGAAAAACCAAAGAAGGGAACCCTGGAAGACCCATCATATCTGGCCACAGCACTCTTACTGAAGGAATATCAGGGCTCATAGAAGCCATTCTCAGACTACTCACCACACAAAGGATTCCAGGACACAGGCAACTTCCACCAGAAACTAAAACATTAACAACCACCCTCAGAATACCATCCTTGCCACTATGGGTGTCACCATCCCTCACAATGGCAGCATTGCTGCCTACCTCAAATATTTACCAGATAATGGACAACCCTCAGGTATCCACCTGTGATGGTTTGTACCCTTGTATTCACATGATTGTAATAATCCCTATAATATCTGGTTTCACCTCCTGCACCAGTTGTTCTACTTCCTCCATTGTGTTAGACATCTTAGTAGTTTCTGCTTGGCTTTGCCTGTATTCCTCACCCAATTAGGTACAGTCATTCTAATGCTAGTATCACCTACCTGACTGTTAGCGTCGTTGACATTTTCTCCTACCTTCCGTTGCTCTTTTCTCCATTGCAGCATCCTCTTACTTGATTTTCTTCCTGTTCAAGGATATAATCTCCACACCTGATTCTATAAGCATCTCCCAACTGTCTCCCCAGAGTTCCTAGTTTAAAGTTTTTAATCAGTTGTGCCAGTCTCCATCCCAAAAGCTTATTTCCCTTTCTACTCAGGTGGAGTCCATCCCATGAGAACAGTCCTCTGTTCATGAATGCCTTCCAGTGGTTGAAAGCCTCAAAGCCCTCTTTATAAGACCACTGCCCAAGCCATCCATTGATAATCATAATCTTGTTTTGCCTTTGCTTTCCTCCTCTAGGGACAGGTAGAATCCCACTGAAGATCACCTAAGCCTTCGTTTCTTTAATCATCTTCCCCATCCTGCATATGCATGCCAGTGAGAATATAGCTGTATCTTTTGTTCCCATGTGAGGGGCAATCAGTAGATTTCCAGCCCCCATTTGGATCCTTTTCAGCCTCAGGTCCACATCCCATATCTTAGCTCCAAGCAGACAGCACACCCTTCTTTTCTCAGGATCAGTTCTACTGACAGGCCTGTCCATTATTCTTAATGGGGAGATATAAATCACACAGACCTACCTCTTCCTGGTGGTGGGATGATTCTCCAGCCTTCCCCCTCCTGTTCTTTCTGGCTGCAAGTCCTCTTGTCTTTTGTTCTCACTTGCAATCTTCTCTGAGTCATCCTCTAGGGACCATGGGCAGCAAGTGAAGCTTCCCTTGTGGGAGGCTAGCTCCCTGTCTCACCTCTTCCACCCCCGGCCCTACTCCATCCCCACCCCACCCCTGCTCTCACTCAGCCCCACCCACCACCACTCACTGCATTCCTCCTCTCCCCCCCCTTGTGATGCCCCTTCTGCCCACCACTCCCCACCTCCCTCCTCTCCTCCACACCCTCTCCCCCTTAAACCCCCACCACTCATGTTCTCCACATCCCTCCTCCCTTGTGAGACACCCCCCCCATCTGCAGGGATGTGGTGAGTGGCAGGGACCTCTGGAGATGGTGGGGTGGAATGGAGGAGAGGGGGGAGTCAGCCAGGCAGCGGGGCCTCAGGGAAAGGACAGAGTAGGGACAGGAAGAGGCAGAGTGCAGGTGGGGTCACCATGGCCCAGGTGTCTGACGGCAGGTTGGTGGCAGCTGCACCAGGAGAAGCTAAGCCAAGCCTCCCCTGGGCTGTTATACCCACAGGGTAAGCCAAAGTTAAGAGCCCCAGGCAATCTCCATTGACTTCCTCTGTGCTGGAAGGACTAGATGCTCTTCTTTTCTTCCTTGCCCTGCCACCTTCTGTTATTGCCTGCTGTGCCCCTTCTTCATTGTCCAACTCAGCTAATCTGTTTCTGAGCTCTATTTCTCTTTCATTAGCTGGTCTTTTCCTCCAGCTGGTTCTTGTAGTCACATGCTTTCACTGGCCACTTTCGTCACCCAGCAGTCTCCCCTCAGAGTTCTTCAGACAAGCTTGCATCTGTTAATCTTGATTTTTCCCCTTCAGCCTCTTCTCGCCTTCTCTCTGTCATCTGCACTAATTCCCTTTGAAACTCAACTATAGTTTCTACCTGCATCTCCAAACCACCATCAGCCCTGTGAGGTGGTACTGCATACAAATGAAGTATTTTTCAGGTATCTGCTCCAGGAAAATGTACATGTCATAGCTTCCACATCCAGTCAACTTCATTGTCTCTTCCATTTCTTGAGTCACTACCACTGCTGCTTCTGTACCTGTCATAGTCTCCCCACCTAAGTTCTTGCCAAGGAGAAAAGACACAGAAAACCACACACTTCTCCACCAAACGCCCCTTACAAACTGCCACACAAACTCCGCTCTTTCCAGCGGTGTTTGCTAATTCCTGTGCAGCTGGCTGGCTGCTTCATTGCCTTAAGCCCCCTACTCAGGGAAGGGTTACGCCTAATCAGGACTCTGCTGTGTTCAAAGGTTCTGCTTCTCTCACAGCACACTGCCCCCTACCAGCCCCTGTAAACTTAAAACCCAACACACAACCAAGCAAAAAAAAAATATATATATATATATATATATATACACACACACACACACTCGCAAGAACTCACTCACTGCCCCCAAGGAACAGGGACTTGCTCCCTTCTTCCCCAGCAGATGTCCACTCAAACATCCCTTTTTCCAGGTCTGTTTGCTGGCTCCCGTGCCACTGCTCCTCACACAGAGAAGGGGACTTGGAGCTTCTTCAGCTCTTACATAGTGGTGTTGAATATTTAACAGAGATTGGGTAGACAAGATCAGAATTTCTAATTTAAAAATAAGTATACGTGCCCTATTTGCATATGCATGGGTGTGTACCCACACTGTAGTGAAGTGAAGACTCACCAGTGCAGCACCACCTGCTGGCCATCTTGGGAATTAGCTCTTCAGCCTCAGAGTGCCTTCTGCTGGCCTATGTCTCACCTGCCTTAGGGCCCCATGTCCCTCCCAGACCATGGTACCACTTACCTCAGGGTTCTGCCCCAGCAGTACCCCCACACTCTGGGTCTCCCATCCCAGGGGAACCACAACCCTCTAAACCCACCTTGCCTCAGTGGCTACTGCCAGTCCTCACTAGCCCCTCTCACTGGGGAAAACTGCAGTCTGTAAAGGCCAGGAGTACTTGTGGCACCTTAGAGACTAACCAATTTATTTGAGCATGAGCTTTCGTGAGCCACAGCTCACTTCATCAGATGTATACCGTGGAAACTGCAGCAGACTTTATATACACACAGAGAATATGAAACAATACCTCCTCCCACCCCACTGTCCTGCTGGTAATAGCTTATCTAAAGTGATCAACAGGTGGGCCATTTCCAGCACCAGCATTTCCAGTGCTGGAAATGGCCCACCTGTTGATCACTTTAGATAAGCTATTACCAGCAGGACAGTGGGGTGGGAGGAGGTATTGTTTCATATTCTCTGTGTGTATATAAAGTCTGCTGCAGTTTCCACGGTATACATCTGATGAAGTGAGCTGTGGCTCACGAAAGCTCATGCTCAAATAAATTGGTTAGTCTCTAAGGTGCCACAAGTACTCCTTTTCTTTTTGCGAATACAGACTAACATGGCTGTTCCTCTGAAACCTGTAAAGGCCAGTCATCATTGGCAAGGGGGTAGGACCTGCTGCCTTTGCCTATCCCCAGGCTGCCCCAGTACCTTTTCATAGGCCTTCATCAAGGTTTACTCGGTTGGTGCTCCTCAGCTCCCCTTGCCCAGCACTGCTCCACTTCAGGTGCCTTGCTCACAGGCAGCTAGCCCTTTCTATTCCAGGGCTAGAGTGAGAATCTTTCAGTTCCTGGCCCACAGCCCTCTTATAAGGGCCAGCTGGGCCCTGATTGAGCTAGCCACACCTGTGGTCAGCTACTCACTGCTTTTCCCAGCTGCAGCCCTCTCCAGGGCTTTTAACCCCTGCTGACTGGAGTGGAGCAGCTGCCCCACTATACAAACACATATGCACCACACTTTTTGTAAAATGAGACTTTTCAGACTTTCTTCATAAATATTAAAGAAGAACTAAAGGACACCAACCATTTTCCCTTTGCAGGTCCCCTTTAAAATCCATTTAGTGGGAAACAGCCTTCATGGCTGATAAACTAGTAGACATTGGAATAAACCAAGGGAAAAAAAATTATAGGGGAACAAAGTCACCATTCCACAGCCCAATCCCTTGCTGTTGTAGCAGTCTTCTCAGACATTACCCTCAAACAATGAGCCATGAGAACATCTGAGTCATCCCATTGTCTCTGATTCCCAGCATACTTTCATTTCAGGAAGCCTTGAGTTAAAAAACATTGTTTAATTAGTTGTAACTGCACAAAGCACTTATCCTGGCATATACCACTAAGAAAAAGAGGAAGAAGAAGACACTAAACCTCAGGTCTGGAAAGAGAGAGACAGAAGAACAAGAAATACACTGTCAGAGCAAAGAATAAAAGTACGACCCCTAAGGTAACTGAAAACCACAAGGGACTGATAAGTCCCAAGGAGCCTTTTGTCAGTTTCCTTATAGAAAGCCTTATCAGCACTGAAGTGGACTGAAGTCAGAGATCTGTCTGCATAGAGCTCCTCCTGATAAGTATTTTTGTTTCTTATTTATCTTGCTGGTCTTTATTACATTGTTACTTTGTTAGATTTTCTATCAACTAAAATTTTGGTGACTTTGTGTAGCAAATAAAAAGGAGTAATGATGTGATCAAAGAGCCTCCACTTCTGGATGCCCATCTTGAAGATCGTGCTCACCACCCATCGACTTTCAGTGTGCTGAGAACTGCTGAAAATCTGCCCATGGGTGTCTCAAGTTGCACACACAAAAACAAAAGTATCCAGAGTTTGGGGCACTCTTGAAAATGTGGGACTTTATAAGGCACCTCTCACCTGCCCCTAAAACATCATTACAGTTCAACAGAAAGAGAATGGAAATTCAGATAAGGAAACTGATCAAATTAGGGTGGGTCTGAACCTCAGAGACTCAAATCGTTTACATGTCAAAGCAGTTTCAGGGAGATGTGGCAGATAGGAGTTCTGTTCCCTTAGGATACAAAAGAGGATAAAAACAAACACAAAAATGGACAAGGATGGATTATTATCTTCTCTTTTACAAGGCATCCAGATGGAGATGCAGGGCCAAATTCTGCTTTCAGTAATTTTGGTGTAAAGCAGAATAATTGAAGTCAATGGAACTATTCCAGATTTCCACTGATGTAGCCAAGATCAGATTTTGGCCCGCAGTGGTCAGAAGTTGATTAAGATTGATCTATCTATCTATCTATTCTTCATAATACTTTGCTCTGTTATAGTACCTATCATCTGAAGGTTTCAAAGCACTTTCCAAATCTCTTTGGCTTAAGCCTCCCAACATCCCTATAAAATATTATTTCCATTTGATAGGTGGAAAAACTGAGTCATAGAGGGGGTAAATGATTTGACCAAAGTTGCTAAGAAGTCAGTAGCATATCTCAAGTCTCTCAGTTCTGGGCTTTAACCACAATCTTAATCTATTGGTACTGCAAGGCACTGTACATGGGCACTTTGCTTTATCCTCTGAATGATAGATGTGCTTGGCTGCTACTATAATACTGAATCGGATTAGTAAGAAAAGGAGCCCAACTCCCCAACCAAAACAGAATTTCTTTGTGTATCTTTCTCCTGCGATCTTTTGTATTCATTGGCTGGCCTGGAGGTGGGCTTTGACTAGTAAAATTACAATGCATTGTCAAATGGGCGATTGAGTTCAAGACAAGGACTGGTGTCTAAAGAAGGATTTAATTATTTGCATAGGTGTTAAATAACTGATTTTTAAAAATATAATGTTGGCATACCCAGCACATTCCTGAACATAGGAGCTGACATCATAGAGGTACAGGACAGGCAGGGACCTTGATAGGTCATCTAGTCCAATCACCTGCCCGGAGACAGGCCTAAGTATTATCTAGACTATCACTGAGGTGTTTGTCTAATCTGTTCTGATAAAGCTTCATTGATGGGGATTCCACAAGTTCCCTAAGTAATTTGTTCGAGTGCTTAGCTACCCTTACAATTAAGAAGTTTTTCCTAACGTCTAACCTAAATCTCCATTGCTACAATTTAAGCCCATTACTTCTTGTCCTCTCCTCAGTAGATATCATGCTCTTTTTTCTAACAGCCTTTTACATACTTGAAGCCTGTTATCATGTCCCCCCCTCAGTCTTCTCTTTTCCAGAGTAAACAAACCCAACTTTTAGAATTTTTCCTCATAGGTCATGTTTTCTAGACCTTTAATTATTTCTTTTGTTCTCCTCTGGACTCTCTCCAATTTGTCCACATCTTTCCTGAAGTGTCATGCTCTGAACTGGACACAGTACTCCAGTTGAGGCCTTACCAGTGATGAGCAGAGTGTAAGAATTACTTCTCACATCTTGCTTACAATACTCCTGCTAATACATCCCAGAATGATGTTTGCTTTTTTTGCAACAGTGTTACATTTTTGACTCGTATTTCATTTGTGATCCACTATAACCCCCAGATCCTTTTCTGCAGTACTCCTTCTTAGGCAGTCATTTCCCATTTTGTATTTGTGCAATTGATTATTCCTTCCTAAGTACAGTACTTTGCATTTGTCCTTATTGAATTTCATCCTATTTATTTCAGACCATTTCTCCAGTTTGTTAAGATTTTGAATTCTAATCCTGTTCTCCAAAGTGCTTGCTACCCCACCCAGCTTGGTATCTGTGATGAGTTCCCAAGATACAACCTGGAACTGGAGTACTGCTGAGCTCACCAACCTGGGCTCCCTCTCACACTGTACTGCTGTGACAAGCTGCAAACCTCTGATAGGTACTGCGCTTACACAGACATCCACAGGCAGGGATACATCCAACTGAGTTACATGAATGCTTTTCCCAGACACTCATTAACTAACAATAGAGGGGCTCCAGCCAGTTCCCTCAGCTCCTAACCATGCAACCCTGAGCTGTACTGTCTTGCACTGGTCAGAAGCCTGACTAGTGTACGTTTATTACCCAGTCCACCCCTCCCTAAATGTGGAGAGGATATGCAACAGTCTTTGTTCCTGAGCTGAGGTTTCTCAAGCACTTCAAGGTAAATCATAAAACAGGTTTATTAACTACAGATAGATTTTAAGTGATTATTCGTGGTAGGCATAAAAGGACAGAGATGGTCTCCAAAGAAAATAAAAATAAGTGCATAATCTAAATCTCAATCCTTATTACACTAGGCAGTATTCCAGTCATGTGAATGAACCCATGATGCCAATTATGTTGTAATTGTGTTTTGTCACTAGTATTTCTAGTTCTTCCTATGTATTCCCCATTCTTCTTGCACTAGAATGCAGACATCTAAGATGTTCATTAAATTTCCCCTCTGTATTCCCTCTGGTCTCTCCTTTGTCCCCACTGTGATTGCCCATGTTCCCCCCATATTCTGACCCTTCACCCAGATCATAGAATCATAGAATCATAGAATATAAGGGTTGGAAGGGACCCCAGAAGGTCATCTAGTCCAACCCCCTGCTCGAAGCAGGACCAAATCCCAGTTAAATCATCCCAGCCAGGGCTTTGTCAAGCCTGACCTTAAAAACCTCTAAGGAAGGAGATTCCACCACCTCCCTAGGTAACGCATTCCAGTGTTTCACCACCCTCTTAGTGAAAAAGTTTTTCCTAATATCCAATCTAAACCTCCCCCACTGCAACTTGATCTCCATGTTCTGGACTTACCTATGGCCTTTTATCTCCTTCCCCCATTAAACCTAGTTTAAAGCCTGCCTAGCCAGTCTGTATCAAAAGATACTCTTCCCCTTCCTTGATAGGTGGACCCCATCTATACTAAGCAGTCCTTCTTCTTGGAACAGCACCCCACGGCTGAGGAAGCCGAAGCCCCTCTGGCAATACAGCCATGCATTTAGCTCCAGGGTCCTCAGAACATATACTGTCTAGCTATCTAGCTACCTGCCTTATTGGGAGACACACTATTGACAAGATCCTCAGCCGGCATAGATTGGTGCAGCTCCATGGATTTCAGTGGAGCTATGCTGATTTATACAAGTGAGGCTATGGTGCTACAGGCCCATCTAGTCTGATATACCATCATCTACCAACCAGGAACTGAACAGTGGGGAGCTTTTCATATCTGTTGAAATTCAAGAACTATTATTAAATACCTATTCAGTTATGTTACTAAAATTTAGTAAAAACTTTCTTCACAAGTAATGCAATGTAATTGATAAACACCATTTTGACTGTCTAAATTCTCATGGTTTAGTTTGAAATTTGACCCATTCTGTCATGTGTTGAGAAGTGCCAGTGTACATTAAGCAAGGATGTTCTAAACCTTTCAGATCATTCCACAGGGGCAAGATGAACTTGCAACTGGTCATTCCTGGATTAGTCATCCTGCCCATTAAACTAGTAGGGACAGCTCTGTTTCTCATCTATTGTGAGTATCGCTGTGCATTTGTAATTTTGAGTTATTATTTATTGATTTTATAGCACTTTTCTTATAGCGGCTGATACTTTCAAGTGTGTGTTGTCTAGTGTGGGATATTACAGTGAATCTTAGCATCTCACACAAACCAAACTAGGCACAAAATACCCCCAAGAATGGTGCTGGGATTGGATCTAGGCAGCGGTGATGTGTCCTAGGAACACTTCTCTGTGGCTCGCTGAAGAGCTGAGCAGCATCCTGAGGTAACCCAAAAACTCCTCTTTGCTGCATGACTTTGTATGAGTAAAAGAATAAACGGACACAAATCAGACATCAGGAATGGTAACATACAAAAGCCAATAGGAGAACACCTCAATCTCCCTGGACATTCAATAACAGATTTAAAAGTAGCCATCCTTCAACAAAAAAACTTTCTTCAAAAACAGACTTCAAAGAGAAATTGCAGATCTACAATTCATTTGCAAATTTAACACCATAAATTTGGGCCTGAATAGGGACTGGGCATGGCTGGCTCTATAAAAGCAATTTTCCCCCTCTGGGTATTGACACCTCCTCATCAATTATTGGGAGTGGACCACATCCACCCTGACTGAATTGGCCTTGTTCACACTGGTTCTCCACTTGTAAGGTAACTCCCTTCTCTTCATGTGTCAGTATATTTATGCCTGCATCTGTAATTTTCACTCCATGCACCTGAAGAAGTGGGTTTTTTTACCCACGAAAGTTTATGCCCAAATAAATCTGTTAGTCTTTAAGGAGCCACCGGACTCCTCATTGTTTTTGTGGATACAGACTAACATGGCTACCCCTCTGCTACTTTGTATGAGTAAGCCATTCATAATGTGCACTTTAATGTACCTTGGGAGTGAAAAAGAACTGAAACGGTGACTGCACAATGGTGTGTGATCTTTTTAGATACTCTTTACAATTTAATATGTAAACTATCATAGTAAAGTACGTGTGTCAGGCTGCTGTCCCCTGGGATCTAAACCCAGAAGGGTAATAGCAAACTTTTAGATTAATTAACTGGTGAAGCTGCACTTGGTAATACGATTTCATGTGTAACTTCAGCCTCCATCTCCCATGTCATAATACATCTCTTCCCCTTTCTCTATTAGTAGTCTTAATTTAGGATTGTTATATTTGTGTTTCCCTGTCCCCTTAGTATAAGACCCTCTTGCTCACATTCACTTAGGAAACCTGAGTGAAATGTTTTCCAGTGGCCACCAACACTTCTCCAAGAATGGCCAAACAGAGTGACTTTTGAGTGATTCCTGATGCTTTCCCTGCAGAATTCCTGGTCTCTGTGAAGTGAGAAATGGATCACAACCCACCAGATATGTGCCCTGGATAGAAAGGATTCATAGTGGGGAAGGGAAGAATTTGTTTTCCAAGGAGTAATTGTTTTAGCTAAGGGAATTTTTTTACTCCTAGTTGCACTAAGTGATCTCACAGCTGGAGTTTCCTCTTTCTCTGATAGCTGACAGTTTCTGCCTGGGTCACAGAGGCATAGAGAAAAACTGAGCATTTTACTCCTGGGGGAATTCTGTGCCACCACACATTCACATAATTTATGACCCCCCCAGATTTCTTTGCTTTCCCTCAGAAAAATGACTTTCAGATAGGGAAGCAAAGGGAAGCCACAAGAGCAGTCATGCAACCTCCCCAGCAGTATGTTTTGGGTGCCCAGCACAGCCAGCAGAGAGGTAAATCACTGTGGGGCAGGAGGCAGGACTGGGGAAGACCCGGCTGGTAGCTCCTACCCTGTGCTGGGCTCAGCTGCTAGTCCTGGCTGGGCTGGGGAGGATGGGACTTCCTCTGCCTCTGCACGGCATCTGGGGCTGGTTCATACCCACTCCCAGATTTCTCTCCCTGCAGCAGAGGAACAATGGGTGCAGGAAGCTCTACAAAATTCCCCTCCCCCCGCTTCCTGCACCCATTGCTCCTCTGCTGTAGGGGGAGGGATTCCAGTACAGGGAGCTGTTCATACCCAGACCCTCCCAAGGAGCCTCACCCCCCGCACTCAGAATCCCCACCATGAACTCCACTCCCCCTGCACCTGGACCACCCCGATGAGCCACATGCACGCAGATCCGCACCCCACTGAGCCCCAACCAGCTACACATGGGTCCCCACCCCACTGAGCCCCAGTCCCCCAGCATCTGAAGCCCCCCACACCCAGACCCCTTGCTGAGCTCTATTCCCCCACACCCAGACCCGTTCAACTGAGCCCCAACCACCTTCACCCCCCTCCAGAATCCCATTACTGTTTCACCCAGAAGCCCCCAACAAGCCCCTGTGCATCCAGATCCCCACCACAACCAGATCCCCCACGGAGCCGCCAGCACCCAGATTGCCCCACACACATAACCCTCTCAACCCACAACCGGATCCCCCACATTAAGCCCCTTCACACTTGGATCCTGCCTTGCCTTGGTGAACCTGGCATGGAGGGGCAGGGCCCTGCGGTGTTTCTGGGACAGGCCCAGTCCTTGCACTGTGTCAAGGTTGGGTGCAGCCTCACCGCTGAGTCTGTGTCCCAGGGGGGAGCTGCACAGTGATCTCCCACCTCTGTGCAGCCCATGGCCTGTGCTCCCCAATGCCATGCTGGAGCCTCCACATTTATTTGATAAATAAAATTGTCAGAATTTTAAAATATTGTGTGCAGAATTTTAAATATTTTGGTGCAGAATGCCTTTAGGAGTAATGGCATTTGTTTCTGTATTCGGTGTAGCTGTGTTTTTCCCAGGATATTGGAGAGACAAGGTGGGTGAGGTAATATCTGTTATTGGACCAACTTCTGTTGGTGAGAGAGCCAAGTTTTCAAGCCACACAGAGATCTTCATAAAAGATCTCTCTCACCAAAAGAAGTTGGTCCAATAAAAGATATTACCTCACCCACCTTGTATCTCCGTTTGTTTCTGTGGCAGGGGGAGAAATAGGGCATGACAGCAGTTTGTAAAGCATGTTACAACATTTGTCTTGGTGAAGCAAAGGGAGTGACCCATCCTGTGGGCATATAGGGCTTGAAACATCAGTGCAGACCCAGTCCTCTTCTGGGGATAGGGAAGTGAAATGATTCCCACACAGCCAGGAGTATTCCTAGGGTTTTTCTGCTATGGACAAGATGTGTCTGGAATATGGAAAGTCACTTATTCTGGGAATTAGATTTGACCAACAAATTATTCACAAACATGGCTGATTTCTGTAGAGAATTTTTCTTTGCCCATGTTTGCACCCCTTCTTGCTTACTTTTTACAAACATATGTTATCATTATTTGTGTTACCGGAGTGCCTAGGAGCGCAAGTCAAGGGCCAGGACCTCATTGTTTTACATGCTATACAAAAACATGTGCGACAATCAAGCTTTGTTCTATGGACATTTATGGCAAGCTAATTTCAGATCCATAGTCATGATTCATTGCACTCTGTCTGTATTTAGGGTTCTGTATTACCATTTATCCTTTGTTTGTGTCTGTACTGTAGCCTGTCCCTATACCAGCGTTGATGAGTGTTGTTACTGGCAGGAATACCAGAGATATTAGTGCTCCCATTAGCTTTATGCTGTAATCTCCCTCACCCCTATTCCAGGCCAATGATAGCTCCCTGGGCATGCGGTTGTGTCATGGGCTATGAACACCCTTTCCAAACAACTGCTATTAACCAAATGTTGTATAGGCAGCATTAAGGCTCATCTCCAGGAGAACAACATCTGGGCTTGTGTTCAGTTCCACAGATCTTCCCCATGCCGGGCTCTCAAGGGACCCTCAATTCCACAACTGAGGAGAGCATAACAGGTAAGATGCTGGGGTTCTCTATGAAATTCTGTTGAGCAAAGGGGGTGTTCTCTTTGTTTCTGTTGAATGCTCATATTGTTATTACTGAAACTAGAGGGCCTACCTGAGTTTGTGGGCCTATTGTACTGGGCAAGGAGCACCCGTGCTCACAACAGCCAAGTGAAAAAAAAATCAGAGTGGAGCAAAAATGGCCTTCTAAAAAAAAAAGCCCAGTTGCTCATTGCCCCTGGAAACTGGTGCCCTGCTCAACTGCCCCTAGAACTGGCCCTGTACAATTACATGGTAAAAGTTCCTGCCTGCCCTGAAGAATGTACTGTCTAAATAGAAACCACAGGATAAGTATCATAAGCCCCATTTAACTGCTGGGGAACTGAGGCACAAAGAGATTAATTGACAACTACAACTCTAGTGATAATCCCACTGCCACATATGTACCTGATATTGTAGAAAAAAATGCAATTCCTTGGCATATCATTGTATTATTGGACCAATATAATAGCAAGGGGGCAGAATTTCATGGACCGCTTTAACTCTGAATTTCCCAACTGTGGTTAAATCCTTAAATTTGAGAGTGTATTAGAGAATAAGGATGTCCCAATGGTTAAGATGCTAGCCTCGGACTTGGGAGATCCAAATTCATGTCCTTGCTCTGCCACAGCCTCCTGTGCAACCTTGGGGAAGTCACTTAGTCTCAGTTTCTCACGTATAAAATGCATATTATTGTACTTCCATACCTCACAGATCAATTATGAGATGCTCAAATATTATGGTAATAGGGGCCACAGAAGTACCTTAAAAGGGTTAGCTTCACTTTTTGTATCTAATATACTCAAATTGTTCAGACAAATGACTATCTATGGATTATTTGCACAGTAACTGATGCTAAGATTCAGTATTTGGACTTAAAATGGTCTCCTAACCACATGTATTCTGAATGTGCGTTTGTGATCAAATATCTGTCTAGATGAGGCTCTCATTTTTGTAGTATCTGAGAACCTCACAAACATTAATGAATTTATCCACACAACACACCTTTTCAGGTTGGCAAATATCATTAATCTAATTATACAGATGGGGAGGCTCAGAAAGATCAAGCCCAGATTTTTGGTGACGGTTTTCAATACTAGGAGCCTAAAGTGAGGCTCCTAAATCCATATTTAGATACCTGCCTGGTTTTCAAAAGTGCTGAGCACCCACTGTTCACACTCGGTGGCCAGGTACTGAATTTAGACCAATGTGTTTTAATCACAAAATCATCCTTCCTCATATGAGCATTTCCTCACAGATATACATGTCTGATACTTTCATTGAAATAAATGATACACCACTTTGAAAACTTCATGAGGTTGTGAGTGTGAAGGGGCTCCAAGAGGGATGAGTTGAACTACAGCCCTAAGGTAAAATGTTCAGAAGCGCCCAAGGCCTAGATTCACAAAAGGATGTAGATGGTGAGATCCATCACAACACCTATCTTTTAAGCACCTAGAAAATCACAGGAACAACACTGCAATCCACACAGCTTGAGTTAGGCATCTAGGCTCCCTATACAATGAATGAGGAGAGATAGGTTCCTTGGAATGTGATTCACAAAAGCCAGCACACTAGGTGGGGAGTTGCCTAAAATAGCCAATGTGAGATGCTGGTGAGATGCTATGCCCTGCCCCTCTTATAGACCTTGTCTGCACTTGTGGTGGTGTGTAGGGTATGTGTAGCTACACGCCACAGTGAAAGACAGGCTATTTCCACAGTTTGGCATGTAGCTGCATGCGACAGTGAAAGCCTCTGGTGGGGGGAAGTGGGGAAAGGCTCTGATGGGGGAGGCAGTGGGGAATGAGCCTTTCCCCGCTGCCTCCCTCCATCCAGAGTCTTTCACAGCTGCATGTACTGTACACACTGCCGCAAGTGTAGGCAAGGTCATGAAGATAGGAGCTTAAACCCAGTCTGCAGAACTTTGAAAGTGAATAAAATAAGTTGAAGTAAGGCCACCTTAATTCTGAATAAAACTGTCCACCCAGGGATTTAAATATATTGATTTAAATTCACACTTCAGCTTAAACCAGTATAAATCTCCCATGTAGATAAGTCCTAATGGCCAAGCCAGTGTCTTTCCACAGGAGCTGGGATGCCTTCTAAACTAAAGGTTTGTCTACCCGAGATTTTAAGTTCTGTTAAGTGATTGCCAATTATGCAAGGTAGTTAATACAGTTGTAAAGGCTAGTGCTGACCTCCCCAAACATTTGTTCCAGGTACAGATATTTGTAGTTTACCCTAAGGCCTGGTCTACACTATGAGTTTATGTTGAGTTTAGCAGCATTAAATCGAATTAACCCTGCACACGTCCACACAACGAAGCCATTTTTTCGACAAAGGGCTCTTAAAACAGATTTCTGTACTCCTCCCCAACGAGGGGATTAACGCTGAAATCGACATGGCCGTTTCGAATTAGTGTGGATGCAATTCAAAGGTATTGGCCTCCGGGAGCTATCCCACAGTGCACCATTGTGACCGCTGTGGACAGCACTCTGAACTCGGATGCACTGGCCAAGTGTACAGTAAAAGCCCCGGGAACTTTTCAATCTCACTTCCTGTTTGGCCAGGCGAGCTCATCAGCACAGGTGACCATGCAGTCCCTGAATCAAAAAAGAGCTCCAGCATGGACCAAACGGGAGGTACTGGATCTGATCGCTGTATGGGGAGAGGAATCCATGCTATCAGAACTACGTTGCAAAAGACGAAATGCCAAAACATTTCAAAAAATCTCCGAGGCCATGAGGGACAGAAGCTACAGCAGGGACGCAACACAGTGCAATGTGTGAAACTTAAGGAGCTCAGACAAGCATACCAGAAAACCAAAGAATCAAACATACGCTCCAGGACAGAGCCCCAGACATGCTGCTTCTACGCTGAGCTGCATACAATTCTAAGGGGGGGCCGCCACCACTACCCCACCCCTGTCCGTGGACTCCGATGATGGGGTACTCTCCGCCATGCCTGAGGATTTTGCGGACGGGGAAGATGAGGAGGAGGAGGACGAGCTTGAGGAGAGCACACAACACACCGTTCTCCCCAGCAGCTAGGATCTTTTTATCACCCTGACTGAAATACCCTCCCAACCCAACGAAGCCGGAGAAGGGACCTCTGGTGAGTGTACCTTTTTAAATATAATACATGTTATAAAAGCAAGTGTTTTTTAATGATTAAATATCCCTGAGGACTTGGGATGCATTCGTGGCCAGTACAGCTACTGGAAAAGTCTGTTAACGTGTCTGGGGATGGAGCCGAAATCTTCCAGGGACATCTCCATGAAGCTCTCCTGGAGGTACTCTAAAAGCCTTTGCAGAAGGTTTCTGGGGAGAGCAGCCTTATTCCATCCTCCATGGTAGGACACTTTACCATGCCATGCAAGTAGCAAGTAATCTGGTATCATTGCATGACAAAGCCTGGCAGCATATGGTCCCGGTGTTCGCTGGCATTCAAGCAACATCCGTTCTTTATCTCTCTGTGTTATCCTCAGGAGAGTGATATCGTTCATGGTAACCTGGTTGAAATAGGGGAATTTAATTAAGGGGACATTCAGAGGTGGCCGTTCCTACTGGGCTGTTTGCCTGTGGCTGAAAAGAAATCCTCCCCGCAGTTAGTCACGCAGTGGGGGGGTTGAGGGGGGGGTGTCATTGGCGCTGAGATGTTCATGTTTGGCTAGCAGGGATCTTCCCTGCTAGCAGCCAGGCGGTAGGGGGAAGGGTAAAGCGATCATCCCAGAGAATTGGATGGTGGGGGCGGGGTTAGTTTGGTTTCTGCTGCTGCACGTTAACATGAAAACCGCAGCACTAAATGGCCAACTCAACGGGCTTTACTTGGTATGGGAAAGGAGGGGGCTGTTGTTATGAAGGTTGCAGAAGCCGAAAGACTATGGCTTACCATGGCCGCCTGCAAGCCAAATTCTGTTGCCCAGCACTGCATGTGTGATCTCTAACACCAAAGCCGCAGGCACTCAATATAAGATGCAAAATGCTACCTTGTACCAAAATCACATGTGCCATGTAATATGAATAGTGTTGTTCACCGTGAGAGTATAGCCATTGTTCTGTAAAATGGATCTTTTTAAATACTTCACTCCCTTTTTTTCTTCCCGCAGCTGCAAATGTTTCAAGCCTCCCTCCTCTGTCCCAAAAGCTATCTCAGATAAGGCGGTGAAAAAAAACGCATGTGTGATGAAATGTTCTCTGAGCTCATGCAGTCGTCCGGCACTGACAGAGCTCAGCAGAATGTGTGGAGGGACACAATAGCGCAGTACAGGACAGTGGCCAATGAACATGAGGAGAAGTGACAGCAGGAAGATCAGAGGAGGTATGAGGCAACGCTGGGGCTACTGCGGGATCAAACGGACATGCTCTGGCGTCGGGTGGAGGTTCATGAATGGCAGCAGGCTCACAGACTGCCGCTGCAGCCGCTGCTTAACCGCCCTCCCTCCTCCCCAAGTTCCATAGCCTCCTCACCCGGACGCCCAAGAACGCGGGGCCGGGGGGGGAGGCTTCGGGCACCCAACCACTCCACCCCAGTGGACAGCCCAAGCAACAGAAGGCTGGCATTGAGGAAGTTTTAAAGTGACCTTTTCCTTCCCTCCTCCCACACCCCACCCGGGCTACCTTGTGGGTTATCTCCCTATTTTTTTAATCAATTAATAAAGAATACATGTTTTTTAAATGATAGTGACTTTATTTCCTTTGCGAGCAAGCTGTGATCAAAGAGGGGAGGACGGGTGGCTTACAGAAAATTTAGAGTCAACCAAGGGGGTGGATTTTCATCAAGGAGAAACAAACAGAAGTGTCACACAGTATCCTGGACAGTCATGAAACTGGTTTTCAAAGCTTCTCTGATGTGCAGCACTTCCTGCTGTGCTCTTCTAACCACCCTGGTGTCTGGCTGCACGTATTCAGAGGCCAGGCGATTTGCCTCAACCTCCCACCCCGCCATAAACGTCTCCCTCTTACTCTCACAGAGATTGTGGAGCACACAACAAGCAGCAATAACAATGGGAATATTGGTTTTGCTGGGGTCTGAGCAAGTCAGTAAACTGTGCTAGCGTGCTTTTAAACATCCAAATGCACATTCTACCACCATTCTGCACTTGGTCAGCCTATAGTTGAACAGCTCCTGACTACTGTCCAGGGTGCCCGTGTATGGCTTCATGAGCCAGGGCATTAAGGGGTAGACTGGGTCCCCAAAGATAACTATAGGCATTTCAACATCCCCAAAGGTTATTTTCTGGTCTGGGAAGTAAATCCCTTCCTGCAGTTGTTTAAACAGACCAGAGTTCCTGAAGATGCGAGCGTCATGAACCTTTCCCGTCCATCCCACGTTGATGTTGGTGAAACGTCCCTTGTGATCCACCAGAGCTTGCAGCACTATCGAAAAGTACCCCTTGCGGTTTATGTACTCGGCGGCTTGGTGCTCCGGTGCCAAGATAGGGATATGGGTTCCGTCTATAGCCCCACCACAGTTAGGGAATCCCATTGCAGCAAAGCCATCCACTATGACCTGCACATTTCCCAGAGTCACTACCTTTGATAGCAGTAGCTCAATGACTGCGTTGGCTACTTGCATCACAGCAGCCTCCACAGTAGATTTGCCCACTCCAAATTGATTCCCGACTGACCGGTAGCTGTCTGGCGTTGCAAGCTTCTACAGGGCTATTGCCACTCCTCAACTGTGAGGGCTGCTCTCATCTTGGTATTCTTGCGCTTCAGGGCAGGGGAGAGCAAGTCACAAAGTTCCATGAAAGTGCCCTTATGCATGCGAAAGTTTCGCAGCCACTGGGAATCATCCCAAAACTGCAACACTGTGTGGTCCCACCACTCTGTCCTTGTTTCCCGGGCCCAGAATCGGTGTTCCATGGCATGAGCCTTCCCCAATAACACCATGATCTCCAAATTGCTGGGGACCGTGGTTTTAGAGAAATCTGTGTTCATGTCCTCATCACTGCGCTTCCGTCACCTCCTCGCCTGGTTTTTCAGGTGCTGGTTCTGCATAAACTGCACGATAATGCGTGAGATGTTTACAACGGTCATAACTGCTGCGGTGAGCTGAACGGGCTCCATGCTTGTTGTGCTATGGTGTCTGCTCGGGCAATCCAGGGAAAAGGGCGCAAAACAATCGTCTGCCGTTGCTCTGACGGAGGGAGGGGTGACTGACAACATGGCTTACAGCGTTGGCTTACAGGGAATTAAAATCAACAACATGAGTAGCTTTGAATCAAGGAGAAACAGAATGGCCCCTCAAGGATAGAACTCAAAACGCAGGGTTTAGCAGGCTGTTGATTTCATGGAGGGAGGGAGGAAGGGAGGAGAAAATGAATACAAAACAAATCTGGTCTATTTCTTGTTTTGATCCACTTAATCTATCTTTATACATCTTGCTGGCAGCAGACGGTGCAAGTATGACTGCTGGCCATCGTCATCTCCTGGGTGCTTGGCAGAAGACAGTGTAGTAGGACTGCCAGCGGGACTGAATCGCCATGAGACAAAACTTAAAAGGGAAATGACCTGGCTGAGTCACTCCCATGTTTGCCCAGGTGCCCCGACCAACCTCACCGAGGTCTGCTAAAAGAGCACCCTGGAGTACGGCAACAATGGCTACCAGTCATACTGCACTCTCTGCTGCCAAAAGGCAATGAGCTGCTGCTGTGTAGCAATGCCGTACCGCGTCTGCCAGCACCCAGGAGACATATGGTGATGGTTACCTGAGCGGGCTCCATGCTTGCTGTGGTATGGCGTCTGCACAGGTAACTCAAGAAAAAAGGCGCGAAACGATTCTCTGCCGTTGCTTTCATGGAGGGAGGGAAGGGGGGGGCCTGACGACATGTACCCAGAACCACCCGCAACAATGTTTTAGCCCCATCAGGCACTGGGATTTCTACCCAGAATTCAAATGGGTGGCGGAGACTGCGGGAACTGTGGGATAGCTACCCACAGTGCAATGCTCCAGAAGTCGACGGTTGCCTCGGTACTGTGGACACACTCCGCCGACTACATGCACTTAGAGCATTTGTGTGGGGACACACACAATCGACTGTATAAAAACACTTTCTACAAAACCAACTTCTATAAATTCAACCTAATTTCGTAGTGTAGACATGGCCTAAGATTAACTTTCTGAGTGCCTCCATTTAAACAATCCCTTAGGTACTTTTTAAAATGGGACTTAGGCTCCTAAATCACTGAGGTACTTTTGAAAAATTTATTCCTAGCTTTTGTGAAATATTGACAAATGATCTCCCCTGGTATTCAATCAGTACTATGCATTATCAATTCATCCCCAATTTTAGTTAGTGAATTGTTATTCATGAATATTGCCAAAGTGTTTGGATGAACAAATTTGTGGGTGTTTGTCTGAATCACATGGTATTGTTTCTGCTGCCTGATTGGCAGAAACTTTATAAACAGGATATATAATATAATATAATGGTAATTAATTAATATAGATAGGAAAATTAACATGCTAGTTTTATCCATGTAGCTTTTTTTAACTGTTCAACCAGCTCTAATGTACAGTGATACTGTTCCTAAAAATGATTCCAACTTTGAATTGAATTCCTCAGAGAGGAATTGGATTTTCTTTTCAGTTGTACAGACTACCCCAGGCCTGCCTAAGACACAACCTGATTCCGGCACAATCACAACTACAGCTCGTGACAGAACAGGTACGCCTGTGGAATTTATAATCCCATTTAAGATATCAGTTTGATAAAAGTAGAGGAGGGCCTAAAGCAGAACCTCATATCTAGCCCCTCTTTTCTAAAGGTTGGTGGAGAATAAGGTTCAAATATCCTGATCCAAATTTGACCCTACGGTTTTGTTTTTGATTGAATCCAAACCCTAAAGGGGCCTATTTTCCAGATCCAATTTGGATGCAGCCTTAAAATGACTAAAATACCATGAGAATATCTGTTCTTGGAAGATTTCCACCATTCTAGATGGCAGAAATTTGTCCATTTTAGCTAATATCAGGACATTTCTTCCACTAGGGATCAAAATCTCCCAAGGACAGTTCAGTAGGTTTTGGCACTGCCAAGCCCTAAACAGCTTTAAATGCTAAATCCAAACCTGCTATTCAGGCCATCTCTAGAATTTCTTGACGTTGGATAGTTACTTCTGATGGTTCCTGTGGGATACTTTCTCTGCCCTTAGGGGACTTGCAGGATGGATATGGAGCTACAGTGCTGGGCACATTACAATATTTTAGGCATATAGGTGACTAGATGGGCAGATTAAGTATTGTGTTGAAATATACAGACATGTCTGTATTCAGCTATACATACATGGTGAGGACCTCTCCCCTTACACGGATGTAAATGAAGATTAATTGAATTAAGGTCCATGAAGATGGACCTTTGTACGCAGGGATAGTTTAAGGTTATGAGGGGCCCAAGGCTAATGGGAGGGAAGGGCCTAAGTAGGAATTACATATTGCAAAGAAATAATGAAGTCATCAAACATTTATGTACATACATATTTACATATTATTTATTTATGTAAAATTAATAACTTTATTCTACTCTCACTACACTCAATTCTTCAAACAGTTACTGCTGAGTCAGAGAGAGCATGAGGGATGCTATGCTGTCCTTCTCTTAGGCCTCCTTCCTCCTATTGTAATGACGTGCTCATCTGTAGGAGGACGAACACTGCAACTTGCCCCATCCTGCTCACCTCTTCCAACCTTGTGCTTCTACCCTCAGCTCTCCATATGACACAGCGCAAAGCCAAGCCCTGTAGGTGTTTCCCACAAGCTATGGACTCTATACCACATACCCTGTCTCACTCTGTCTGCAGTCTGGGAGGCAGCCAGCTTTTGTTATGTAAAAGAAAACCACTCAGGTGTAAAATCCACTGAAGCAGAGGAAGTAGCAGTGGGAAAATTACATTGGGTGACGTATTTTAGGCTGTCTTGCTCTGAAAGCTGCCTCCCAGTGTTGCACTAGCTAAGGAAAATGAATTACTGTTTTCACATTGAACCCAAATATTATTTGTGGGATGATATCCAGTTTGTGTAGTTAATCTCCAGTGATTCATCACATCAGGCTAATCTGTCACCAAGCTCTTCCACAATTAGAATAATACAATAGAATCATAGGATTGGAAGGGACCTTAAGAGGTCATCTAGTCCGGTCCCCTGCACTCATGGCAGGACTAAGTATTATCTATTCTAGAATGTGTGATCAGCAGCTCTGACATGAGGTTTTTTAAGCATGAGTTCTGTGTGCACCAGACCCGTATGGTTTGCATTGGTTTGTTTTAAGCTTTCTGCAAGAAAAAGGCAACAGCTAGAAGTGACACAGATCTTTAGATGGTTGCCCAGTCATAATATTTAGTGCTTTTGTACTATGTTAGCTCTTCAGAATCACTGTACAAGCATTAAACAAACTTAAAGCCTTTCAGTTTTTGAATGACTAGGAATTGACAAAACAGAGCTATTCCCTGTTGTGTTCTCTGCCCCCCTGAACAAAAGGACTTCATTGAAAATCAGCATCTTAAAAGAACCATTCAGGATCTTTCAAAAGAACGGTCCAACCAAGGCTGCTGTAGTGACACCCTTGTTACATCAGGTCTGGTGTTTGTTTAGGGCTGGGTAGAATGAAAGAAGAGCTTCCTGTTTCGTTTGCATGTGTAAATCAAGCAGACCTTGCTTATTTTTTTTGCCTTAAAGTGCTCAGAGTTTAGGGGAGGAAAGTGAATGAAATTCTGCTTATACCAGGTGTGAAAAAGCAGAAGGGACCAAAATCTATTCTTGTAGAAAAATCTGTTCTCCCTGAAGTCAACAAGGCTACACAGGTGTAACTGTCAGCAGGAATCGACCTGTGTTCTAGAATCACACACATTCCGTGTTTACCCAACATTTGCCACTTGGGAGAGAAGTTAGTTTGAGTTGGGGCAGAAAAATGAGGACTAACTTCAGGTTTATTTAGCTTTAAGTTTTTGGGATGAAACTCAAAAGAAATCAAATGTGAGATACTTTCATGATGGATTGAACTGCTAGAGAACCAGCATATGGACTGAACCTGCCTTTAGCCTGTTCAGCCAGTCTTTCTATCATAGCCTGCTAAGAAGTGGATTTAAAATCTGTGAGGGAAAGGGGAGGGAGAAACCTACAACATTGTGTGTTGAGCTTCCTCCAGTGCTCTTGCAACCCCTTAAAAGTACAAAGATGCTCTGGCCTTTGGAACTAGGCTGAGCATGAGGAAAGAACTTTGTTGCCTGTGCATCCCAGTACAGAAAAATATATCAAAGAAAAAAATTAGATTTCTTTGATTTTTAGTACAGTTCAATACAGTATGGAACACAGTGCATCATAAATCTGAAGCCCCTCAGTGGAAGGTATTGTTAAAGTACTGGTATCCAGAATGGGATGTTTTGTTTTGTTTTTCCTACAAATGTGGGAATTCATTCCTTATACATGGGAGGGGCAATAGTTCTGGCTGGAGTTGGATAGAGTGTGTGCAGGTTCCGTGCAAGCTTCCCACCCTACCTCTCTGGTACTGCCTCTTTCCCCTGCCACCCCCTTGCCCTGCCAACCCTCCCCCCACCCCGGCACTCACCAGTTGTCCAGAAACAGGACCCAGCACACACAGAAGATAATGGTGAAAGGCACTAGGACCCAGGAGGCAGCGTCCTGGAACTGCCTGCCAGCCTCAGCCCAGGAGAAGGACATAGGGAGCTTCTTCCCACCCTGACAGCTCAGCAGAGCTCCAGAGACTCAGGGATGGGGGAAGCTGGGGCGGGGAGACAATGCCTGCTCAAACTGTATCCGCAACTGGCACATGTTCCCGTGGTAACCGGATTTTGAGTGTCCGGTCACCAGAGTTAACCAGGTACCTGGCAGTGTGTTCCTGCAGTGCGGGGAGACGCAGCTGAGCTCCTTCCAAGCCACAGGGGACTGCTTTGCCTTGCCTGCTGGCAGGAGTGCTCTAGCAGGGCTACATGAGCAAGCTTGCCCTCCCCCACCACCCGGGCCGTGCCCCATGCCTGACCAGTAGGGCCTAAAAATAGGAGGGCCTAAGGCTATAGCCTTATTAGCCAAATGGTTAATCCGGCCCTGTTTGCATGCCTATTAGATAGATGCTGTAGTGAGGGCTGAGATGGAACTTGTGTTTAAATGCTTACATTCAGGTGCTTATCATTCTTTTTAAAGTATATAAACTGGTAATTGGTCATGCTTGTTCCCAACCCAAAAGTGAATTTCTGGAAGTTTAGTACATTTGACATGGATGTTTCAGAGATATATGAGTGTGAGTAAACAGCATTTGCCCACCACATTTCCAGATGCTTTTTTATGCTCAGATTACTGAACCAGGCTTTTCCTTCAAAGCAGAAATTTGCCATGGATATACATATGTGTAAATCAATGGAACAATTCCCCCCCCCCCGTTACACTAGTGTAAATCCTAGTTAACTCAGTGAAAGTAAGTGACTTCCTTCAAATTTATACAGTTGGAAATGAGAGCAATATCTAGCCCACAGAGAGTTGAACCTGTTCACACAAAGTGTGAGTCTGGTCCTTAGGGACAAATTTTGTCCTTACCCATACTCCTCCATTTCCATTGATGTCAAATTCACACACTCACATCCACTCACCCCCTGGCCCATGCAGTTATGTTTATTTAATTGACTATGAGAGATGGGCCTGAACCAAACCTTCCCTCTCACCCAAAGCACCCCAAACTGTTTGTATTGGGAGGTATTTGAAATATGAATCTGTATCCAATATCACATCTAGTATCTTTCTCTATAGTATGCTGACACAAAACTCCAGATGCAAACACTCATGAGCTTTGGGAGGCCTGAGACCTGGATGCAAAGTCTGCAGCTGGGGTGCAGTTCTAGTGTCACAGTGTAGGGCAACTGCGCTTGTATTTCCCCTCAGGGGTTCAGCAAGGACATCCACTTCCAGGCTTTCGGTTCCCCTGGCCCTCACCTCTCTTGGGTGGAGACACGTCTCTCTCTTTTCCTTTCCGACCAGGATATTTTTAGGCTGAACAGTTTTATGCCTTTATTGTGGTATTTCCTGCAAAAGACAGACTGCCTAAACAGACCTGCTTGCTTTTTCTCCCAGAAGCAGGTAATCAGTAGACAGTAGGTTTTTATTCCCAGGTCGTAGCTTCAAAGGCCTTCCAAGTATCTCCTAGGAAACCCACTTCATATGTATTATCCCAAACAGATTTTTGAAGTTCCTAACGTATTCCCAAGGTTTACATTAGTCCGTCTCCTGAAAAAGTTACTGTAGGATTGTATGTAACACATAAACTGTTACATTTTTAATGCAATAGATCCCATGGGTATTAAACTTAATTCAATAATGTTTAACTTAATTCAAGTAGAAATTCAAATAAACCCCATCTAATATATACATCTAATGCCTACATAGTCTAATCTATATATTTAACCTATATAGATGTGACATCTTGAAAATAAAACACATAGGACCAACTTCAGAGATGAGTCAACCAGATTCTTGGTGGGGTTAATGTGTGTGTAACTGAAGAGACTGAGTAGCAGCTGATTCAGAGCCAGTTAGGCTCATCCATAGTTCTGCTGTACTATGGCTGACCTGTAGTGAATCCTTTACTGGCATTTATCCACCTGACCACTGGTCTTCCCTGCCTTTCCAGTGATGTCCTGTAGGCATTGGAAGGGTAGAGAGTTTCCCAGCTGTAAATAAGATTTTTGCCTCTCATCTCTGTGATTTATTTTATAAGTTGACTGTCTCTTCATTTCTGTTCAAAATTCTATGTTTTTCTGTGTGGTCATGTCCCCTTCTACAGCTAAACCCTTACAGTGGGAGGGGCACCGAGGGAATTACTACTTATTTTCTAAAGCCAAAGGGGTCTGGAGTTCCAGCCGAACAGAGTGTGATGAACAGAGCTCAGATCTAGTTGTCATCAGTGACAGAAAAGAGCTGGTAAGATCAAACACTGCTTTGTGGGAATTGAGATTATGCTGAATGCCCAGATCCTCAAATGTACTTAGGTGCCTAACTCCCATTGAAATCTTTGAGGTTCTGAACTTAAGCCTCCAATACTCAGGTTTGTAATCAGTCCTTCCCACTGCAGACAGCTTTCCATGACCAGATCACTGGGTCTCTGTAAGCTGTTGATACCAGACACAGTCATCTGTATAGCAGTGATTCTCCAACTTCTTCATTATGAGCATCTCTTCTAAAGAAAGAGATCCTTTCTTGGGCTCACCAGTCCCCCCAATACCTCAGTTACCCACCATTTTGTTATCAACATGCTGCATTCTGCAAAGCACCAGGAGAGGCCTCAGAGTTTGAGAAAATGCAGCCACAGTGGAGGTTCTGATCAGAGGCCTCAGAGGAATGAGATACATCTCTCTGATCTCCGATTAATCAAGTATCCAACCATACACGTGAATCCTTTGACAACAATGAAGGAGATTCAGTAACCTAAGGCAAAGTAACCTCAGTGTGTAAACTAGTGTTTCACACTCACTGTAAAGCTTCATCTACGCTCAGGGTTCAGAGCTACATCAATTTAAACCAGCTGAAGATCTAGCCCTCCAAGTATAACCACATCAAAGGACCTCATTATAGTACAGCTAAGCTTTAGAGAATTAAATTGAACTATTTAACTTTATAGTATGTAACCTTGGGATGACGTACCCTGCTCCCCACAGTACCTCTGGCTAGCTCTAGTGCCTCACCTCCTCCCCATCCCACCTCATTCCTCTTGGGGTGATTTGCATACCCCAGGGTGCAGAGAGGAAACGATCCCTGTATTCATCTCATGTGCATAGGCTGCGGTCATCCCTCTTTCTTGTTTGGAGTAAGCCAAGGTGGGGAAAAACTCCTTCCATCCTCATAACCTCATGTATCCAAGCTAGGAGCCAGGAAAATTTGCACTAGAATCATATCCCAATATCCTAGTTAACAACGTGAATTATCCCAGGATTCACACAGTCACTAACAAAAAGGTTAGATCCTGTCTGCATTACAAATATTAACCACGTTGCAACTACGTCAAGGGACATTTGGTTGCCAAGAGGAATGAGCTTAAGTGTGAATTGCAGAGTTATACACAGGAGTAGATCATTGGTTTGCAAAGTAATTGTAACTGGCAAAATGAAGGCGGTAACATTTCTCCAGTTACTCTCAATTCAGATGATAACCTGGTTCCTGGCTCCCACAGCCATTACAGACACAGTGGTAAGAGCAGGATAAAGGAGATGTTCTTTGGATTTTCCTCTCACATTTCCTTTGTGTCACTGATTCACCACACACTTCCTTTCCTTGTCAGGAGTTTCTTCGTAATAAAACAAGGGATGCTGATTATTTCATTGGACTAACTTACTCAGAGATGGAGAGGAGATGGTATTGGATTGACAAGACAGAGCTTACGAGAGGCCTGTATGTTTATTCTTTTCTCTCATAGCTAATGAACATAATGGGCCAGAGCATCATCATTTATATGCATGTGTTCAAGATGAGAATCTGGCTAAATAAATGTAAGTGAATCTACCAATGCAACTTCTAGTTCATTGTGGATAGTGCTAGAATCTCCTCTGAAAACAGGCTGTGATTTCCTGTGACTTTGTCAAGTGAACAGTGTTTGCTGAAGAAGTCAGTGCCATTGTCACATGGGCAGAGGGCTCCTTCTAGTCTGGCATTTCATTGAAGCTGTCTCAGAAGAACTGCGTTTGTCATGGAAGTCTACATTAGTGTCAGACAGGACTGAGTTTTTTTCCCTGGGGCTGTTATGGGGAATAATGTTAGCAGATTCTGTGCTTGAGGGAGAAGGAATATCTCCTTAGTAGAGGAGGAGCAGGAAGAAGGGAGACGCTTGTGTATGCATGCGTATACATATAAAGAAATGAAAATAAGGATTTAGTTCAACAGTTCAGCTTCTTTTTTGGTTATTTCTCTTTGCCCAGATTTACTCTGAAACCAAAGACATTGGAGTATGAAAATGACTGTGCAGTTATCAGAGCTGGAGAAGTGAGTCCTGCATCTTGTCACCAACTAAACCACTGGATCTGTGAGAAGACAATGAAATAACTCTTGTTTTGTAGGATGAGTCCCAGCACAGGTAGTCTGTGGCACTGGAATCCAGCTGGAGCATTTCCCCCTAATCTCAGACACAAATATGCACATGTATTCTCATTTTATTATAAAAGAAACCATGATATGATCCTGGCCTATGGCACTTTTTATTTTCTATCCACAACAAATTCCAGACCAAGGTATGCATTTTGGACACCATTTCTGGATGCATTTTCATCAGCACATTGTAGGAAGAGTAATGGAGGACTTTGTTTTCTGTAATAAGGACACTTCACCAATCTGATAGACTCTGCCCTCCATGGAGGGTCACACATGCTGAAAGGATATAGGGTGCAAGAACTACTCAAGGGCCAGGAAAGATCACAGCTCCTACCCATGGACTGCTCTCTGCAGAGCAGAGGTGGGCATGAAGCAGGACCATAGCCCTAGCTCCTCCTCCCAGCATTGTGCAAAAGCATTGGGCCCTAATCCACAAAGAGCCTTAGGCATGGCAATGCAGTCCAGTTCAATGCCTAAACTTTAGGTGTCTGGCTACCCAGTGGAAGCCATAAAACCTGAGTTGGGCACATAGGCTCCCTATAAGATTCATGGGGAGATACACGTGCTTGAGAATGGGATCCACAAAAATTCCCACACGCTAGGGCATGGAGCTGTCTCACCAACCACTAGCAGATACTGAGGAGAGGGGTGTGTCCTAAGCCCCACCCCTCTCTGGGTCTTAGGCACCTAAATCCAGGATGGAAGGAGGCTCTTGTCTCTGCTTGGTAGTCACAGCCTGGAATTGTCTCCTGGAATCAGGCTCTTAAGCCATTTCTTGCCAGAAATGCAGTGGCACATGCTTAAGTTCATACAAAATGGCTGGGCATGGGTGTGGGGGGAAGGGAGGACCTCCTTTATAAACTTTCACCCAGCAGTTATAGCACTCACTTGGGATGTGAGAGACACTAGTTCAGTCCCCCACTGGGGCTGAGGAGAAAGAATTTGAATGTGGATTTCCCACCTCTTTGGCGAATTCCCCAATCACAGAACTATAGAGCCATTGTCTTGCTGGCCCAGTGTACATTGTGTGTATAAATAATTATGTAACAGCTTCAAGAGGAGGGCGTGAGAGAGCCCTATATCAAAACATCTCATAGTCCAGTGGCTAGGGCAGTCTCTTGGAAGACTGAAAACCTAAATTCAAATCCCTTGGCCACAGCAGGTAGAGGACAGAACTGAACTAGGATCTCCCATATCATGGGTTTATAAGGGCTGTCTCCCTTCCTCCCAACTACCCTTGTGTACAGTTTGGTGCTCTCCGAGCATGCCTCCTGGATCAGGCCTTGTAAGCGAGCTAGGAGGGGGAACGCCTGCCTTCCCCTGGTTTGAGGATTGCACAGAGGCTTAGGCGAAAGATAGGTGCTTGGACACCTGTTTGGGGCAGCAGGGTGCATGCCCGGTGTCTTTAGGATTTTTACAGCAAAAATGTAGGTGCCTCCAGGGTTAGGCGGCAGCTGAGCAGGATTTTGACTGTCTCAGTGGTGCCTACAGTTTGGACATAGGTGCCTGACCCCCATTTTAGGTATCTAAATCCTTTTGAGTGGCTCTTGGTTATTTGCAGAGCAGGAAACATGGTAAACTCTCGTACAGGGGCACTCACATGGACTGCAGGACAGATTGTGCTTTATTGTTTTCCTTTTCGAGTGGGACAGCTCTGCACAATCCCCAACCCAGTGCCATAAACACACAGTCTGGCTTTGATAATTAGATTATTAAATAGTGAGGCATGAAAAACAATTTAGTTACATTTTTAACAGACCATTCCCTTCCTGGGCGGCTCCTTGTCTATTCTGACTGTACGCTGCTCAGTTCAGGGCCCGTCTCTCCTTATGTTTGTAAGGCACTTAGCACACTTTGAGCCCTATATAAATTCTAGTGATAACAGTGTTCTCTTTCTCTGCACATTTGCCAGAAAGCTTTAAAGGATGAGGTCTGTTTTTTGCTTTAAGTAGCCTCTGACTGTCTTTCAAGCCATGGCATTTAAACGTGTAAAAAGGAAGGATATGCATTCCCTATCTTGCATCAGCATGTTACATAATCAGCTCATGGTTTGCTAACACAGCAGATGAATTACAAAACAGCTTGCAGAGTTGCAAAACTCAAAGATTCCTTTTGAGAAAGAGCAGTTGACTGTGCAAGTGTAGCAACATCTGTGGCGTTAAAATCAGAGAAGTTTCAGAGGAACAGCCGTGTTAGTCTGTCTTCGCAAAAAGACTTCTAGGATGGAGGCTGGCACAACTGATTAAGAGAGCTTTAAACTAGGAATTTGGGGGAGATGGTTGGGAGATGTCCAGGTAATCTCCACGCCAGAATTTAGCATAGAGTGGAAAGAAAATGAAGTAAGAGTGGATACAGCTGTAGGTAGGAGGAAGGGCAGTGTAGATACAAGTCTAATAGGTTATACTGGTAGTAAAATAACCGTGCCTAATAGGGTACAGAATGTGAGTGAGGCCAAACAGCAAAAATTAAGATGTTTGTACACTAATGCAAGGAGCCTAGGTAATAAAATGGAGGAACTAGAGTTACTGGTGCAGGAAGTGAAACCAGATATTATAGGTATAACAGAGACCTGGTGGAATAGTAGTCATGACTGGGCTACAGGTATTAAAGGGTATGTGCTGTTTAGGAAAGACCGAAATAAAGGTAAAGGTGGTGGAGTAGCACTGTATATCAATGATGAGATAGAATGTAAAGAAATAAGAAGCGATGAAATGGATATGACTGAGTCTGTCTGGGCAACAATTAAATTGGGGAAGAAAACTATTAGAGCCTCCCCTGGGATAGTGCTTGGGGTGTGCTATAGACCGCCGGGATCTAATTTGGATATGGATAGAGCCCTTTTTAATGTTTTTAATAAAGTAAATACTAATGGAAACTGTGTGATCATGGGAGACTTTAACTTCCCAGATATAGACTGGAGGACGAGTGCTAGTAATAATAATAGGGCTCAGATTTTCCTAGATGCGATAGCTGATGGATTCCTTCAGCAAGTAGTTGCTGAACCGACTAGAGGGGATGCCATTTTAGATTTGGTCTTGGTGAGTAATGAGGACCTCATAGAGGAAATGGTTGTAGGGGATAATCTTGGCTCAAGTGATCATGAGCTAATTCAGTTCAAACTGAATGGAAGGATTAACAAAAATAAATCTGCAACTAGGGTTTTTGATTTCAAAAGGGCTGACTTTCAAAAATTAAGGAAATTAGTTAGGGAAGTGGATTGGACTGAAGAATTTATGGGTTTAAAGGTAGAGGAGGCCTGGGATTATTTTAAATTAAAGCTGCAGAAGCTATCGGAAGCCTGCATCCCAAGAAAGGGGAAAAATTCATAGGCAGGAGTTGTAGACCAAGCTGGATGAGCAAGCATCTTAGAGAGGTAATTAAGAAAAAGCAGAAAGCATATAGGGAGTGGAAGAAGGGAGGGATCAGTAAGGAAAGCTACCTTATTGAGGTCAGAATATGTAGGGATAAAGTGAGACAGGCTAAAAGTCAAGTAGAGTTGGACCTTGCAAAGGGAATTAAAACCAATAGTAAAAGGTTCTATAGTCATATAAATAGGAAGAAAACAAAGAAAGAAGAAGTGGGACCGCTAAAAACTGAGGATGGAGTGGAGGTCAAGGATAATCTAGGCATGGCCCAATATCTAAACAAATACTTTGCCTCAGTCTTTAATAAGACTAAAGAGGATCTTAGGGATAATGGTAGCATGATAAATGGGAATGAGGATATGGAGGTAGACATCACCATATCTGAGGTAGAAGCGAAACTCAAACAGCTTAATGGGACTAAATCGGGGGGCCCAGATAATCTTCATCCAAGAATATTAAAAGAATTGGCACAAGAAATTGCAAGCCCATTAGCAAGAATTTTTAATGAATCTGTAAACTCAGGGGTTGTACCGTATGATTGGAGAATTGCTAACATAGTTCCTATTTTTAAGAAAGGGAAAAAAAGTGATCCAAGTAATTATAGGCCTGTTAGTTTGACATCTGTAGTATGCAAGGTCTTGGAAAAAATTTTGAAGGAGAAGGTAGTTAAGGACATTGAAGTCAATGGTAAATGGGACAAAATACAACATGGTTTTACAAAAGGTAGATCGTGCCAAACCAACCTGATCTCCTTCTTTGAGAGAGTAACAGATTTTTTAGATAAAGGAAACGCAGTGGATCTAATTTACTTAGATTTTAGTAAGGCGTTTGATACTGTGCCACATGGGGAATTATTAGTTAAATTGGATAAGATGGGCATCAATAGGAAAATTGAAAGGTGGATAGGGAATTGGTTAAAGGGGAGACTACAACGGGTCCTACTGAAAGGTGAACTGTCAAGTTGGAGGGAGGTTACCAGTGGAGTTCCTCAAGGATCAGTTTTGGGACCAATCTTATTTAATCTTTTTATTACTGACCTGGGCACAAAAAGTGGGAGTGTGCTAATAAAGTTTGCAGATGATACAAAGCTGGGAGGTATTGCTAATTTAGAGAAGGACAGGGATACCCTACAGGAGGATCTGGATGACCTTGTAAACTGGAGTAATAGGAATAGGATGAAATTTAATAGTGAGAAGTGTAAGGTCATGCATTTAGGGATTAATAACAAGAATTTTAGTTATAAGCTAGGGACGCATCAACTAGAAGTAACGGAGGAGGAAAAGGACCTTGGAGTATTGGTTGATCATAGGATGACTATGAGCTGCCAATGTGATATGGCTGTGAAAAAAGCTAATGTCATCTTGGGATGCATCAGGAGAGGTATTTCCAGTAGGGATAAGGAGGTTTTAGTACCTTTATATAAGGCACTGGTGAGACCTCACCTGGAATACTGTGTGCAGTTCTGGTCTCCCATGTTTAAGAAGGATGAATTCAAACTGGAACAGGTACAGAGAAGGGCTACTGGGATGATCCGAGGAATGGAAAACTTGTCTTATGAAAGGAGACTCAGGGAGCTTGGCTTGTTTAGCCTAACTAAAAGAAGGTTGAGGGGAGATATGATTGCTCTCTATAAATATATCAGAGGGATAAATACCAGAGAGGGAGAGGAATTATTTAAACTCAGTACCAATGTGGACACAAGAACAAATGGATATAAACTGGCCACTAGGAAATTTAGATTAGAAATTAGACGAAGGTTTCTAACCATCAGAGGAGTGAAGTTTTGGAATAGCCTTCCGAGGGAAGTAGTGGGGGCAAAAGATCTATCTTGCTTTAAGATTAAACTCGATAAGTTTATGGAGGAGATGGTATGATGGGATAACATGGTTTTGGTAATTAAATATTCATGGTAAATAGGCCCAATGGCCTGTGATGGGTTTTTAGATGGGGTAAGATCCAAGTTACCCGGGAAAGAATTTTCTGTAGTATCTGGCTGATGAATCTTGCCCATATGCTCAGGGTTTAGCTGATCGCCATATTTGGGGTGGGGAAGGAATTTTCCTCCAGGGCAGATTGGAAGGCCCTGGAGGTTTTTCGCCTTCCTCTGTAGCATGGGGCACGGGTCACTTGCTGGAGGATTCTCTGCTCCTTGAGGTCTTCAAACTACAATTTGAGGACTTCAATAGCACAGATATAGGTGTGAGGTCTTTTTTAGGAGTGGTGGGTGAAATTCTGTGGCCTGCATTGTGCAGGAGGTCAGACTAGATGATCATAATGGTCCCTTCTGGCCTAAATATCTATGAATCTATGAAAAAAAAAAAAGGAGGACTTGTGGCACCTTAGAGACTAACCAATTTATTTGAGCATGAGCTTTCGAAAGCTCATGCTCAAAATCAGAGAAGTGTTGCCACAGGGTGATTAAGCAAGATAGAAGATGGAGGTTTGGTTACTAGACCAGCAGAAGTTCCTAACAAGGAGAGATTTTTATGAAGGGATTACTCACCTCACCTAATATTTGTTCAAAGAAAGGAAAGGCAATAGCTTTTCTCCATAATTAAGAGACTCACTTTCCATTAAATACCTGATTTTAAACCTCTGCCCTAATGTCAACAAAACACAACCAATCCAGTAGAAGTTTCCCATGTGTAGTCCCCAGTCAGAGGAGTAAAGTTGGAGGGGAATCAAACATGGTATTTTGGAGACAGTAGTGTTTGGACAACTAGAGGAGCATTGCTTTTTGAGAATTCTTGTAATTTTTTTTCAATGCCATATCTAAAAAGATGCCTTGGAAGCTCCCAGGGTATGTCTGTTATGAGAAATCCTGGCTACAGAGGGAGAAATAGTGGCTTGAGTCGGTTCTGGGAGCAAGAAGCTCTTGAGTACTTTTCCTAGCTCTGCGGTATTTTACAGACTAATGATTACAGACTAAATAGCATTATTCCCATTGTGCATTCAAGGCAGGCATAGATAAATTAAGTGACTTGGCCAAGATCACACAAAGTAGTAGTTATGGAATTAGGATAAAGAACTAGGGGCCAGAGCCTCAGCTAGAGTTAATTGACTCCATTGTAGTCAATGAAGCAATCCTGTTTCCCATTAGCTGAGGATCTGACTTCACATTTCTGACTCTCAGTCCCACATATTTAATCCAGTGGACCACACTTCCAAGTAGGTTACATAACCACTCTGTGTCTCACTTTCCTCATGGGGCTAATAGTTACTTAGGTAGTTTAGAAGATTAAATAGTTATGGGTAGGTTGTATCCCTATTCACACAGAACCTTATTCTGTGAGTAGCCACTGAGATCAGTGGGACTGTTTAAGGAGCAAGGTACTAGAATCATAGAATATCAGGGTTGGAAGGGACCTCAGGAGATCATCTAGTCCAACCCCCTGCTCAAAGCAGGACCAATCCCCAGTTTTTGCCCCAGATCCCTAAATGGCCCCCTCAAGGATTGAACTCGCAACCCTGGGTTTAGCAGGCCAATGCTCAAACCACTGCGGTAACCCCCCCGCCCCCACATGTTATGTAAGGATAGCAGAATTTGGCCCTCAGTGTTTTGCAAATGTAAATCCTATGTGGGATTATTAGATGCTCTCTGCATTTTGCAGAAGCACAGTGGTGCACTGCAAACATTCCTGACTGTATTGCCTTCATATGAGGACTCCAGTCCAGCAACAGTGTGCATGGCTTAGAAAGTAGAATTGAGATGGAGATAGGGGTGGCATTCATTTTGTTTGTTGTCACCATTAACAGGGCAAAAATAGAAATGTCCAGGTCAGAGCTTCCAAGAGGCAGATGGGCCAGGACAGAGCTTCTCCAAAGTCATTCATGTGCATCCTAGTGTCACTGAACTGCTCTTAAAAACCACTCCCCCAAAACAAAGGACATTTTCAGACAAAAAGTTGTGTTAAAAGGTTAAAAACATGCATCTGTGCCTTCAAGGGAGAAAAAAAAATGCCTTAACCATTGGCCATAACAGTTTAGAGCATGCTTGCTAACTCCCCAGAGGTGAGGGTCCCTTACCTTGGGGACACATTCCTGACTAGGGGTGAACAGATCTGGGCTACAGCCCTAGCACAGGAAGATGGAGGAATGGGATAGGAAGCCTCCCATTTCCAGGTCCCTGTTTTGAATCCAACATAAATCCATGTGGGATGACTGGTTTAATGAATTAGGAGTAGGATACAGAGCATATCTTTAGGTCACAGGAAGGCTGACTTTGGGGAAAGACACTGTCTTGGCTCACCTGAGACCTGCTGTTTGAAGATCTCACAAGACTCCCAGACTGAGTTTTGGCTTTGATAATGTGGTGAGTATGTACACATAGGGAGCAGCTGCTTAGTAAATCTTCTCCACCATTGGGTAAGCTAATTCCAAGAGCAGAAAAAGGCATCACTTTCTCTGGGGTTGCCTCTTGAAATGCTGCACCTAAAAACCATTTTCAGAGGAAAGTCCCAGGCAACACTGCCAGATGAGGCATTCAGAGTGGGTGACAGGAAGACATGCTCATGAACACAGTATTTTAAAGATAAACATTGTTTTTAATATTGTAAATTCATAAAAGCCATATTTTTCATACACAGTCATTGATTGTGGTTTCTTCAGTATTAAGCTTCATATATGTATTGTGACAAAGCTCTGTCCTTGTCTCTGTGGGTCCTGCATTTCCTAGCGGATTTTACTAGCCTCAGAGGCTCACTGTGACCCTCCATGTAACCCGTCTCTCTCTAGAGACAAGGGTCACAGTCTACTGAGCTATTTTCATCATAAGCCAGCGAGGGAGGTGAGGAGAAGCTATCCTCCCTTGCACATTCTCTGTTGTCTCCCAGTCTCAGTGATAAATTTGGGAGGGGGGGCAAAGTGGGGGAGCCCAGGCCCACCCTCTACTCCAGGCTCCATCCCAGGGACCCTAATAGTATCAGCTATGGTCACTGACCTTTTAGAAACATGACATGTACAATTCCCTGGGCTACTTCCCCACAGCAGCCCCCACCTTCCTCAAGCTACACTTCGCCCTTACCTTAGGGCCTCCTTCCTTGTGCCTGATATGGTGTGTACTGCTCAGTCTCTCCAACAGCACAACTTCCTCCCACAGCTCCTGACATGCACACCCACCTGACTAACTGGGAGGCTTTTAACTAGTTTCAGCCAGCCCCTGATTGGCTTCAGGTGTTCCAATCAACCTAGCATTCTCCCTGCCTTCTGGAAAGTTCTTAATTGGCCCCAGGTGTCTTAACTGACCTGGAGCAGCTGCCATTTAACTTATCCGGGTACCAGGGATTTGTTTAGCCTGGAGCTAATATATTTATCTCCCCCTACTTTTCTAAGCCATCTGGCCTTATCCCGTCACAGTATGCATATGCAGAAATTCATAGTGACATGTTATTTAGTTCAGTATTTGCAGTAATATATAAAGCTTAAACCTCACTAACACATGTGGGATCACAATAAAAAAGGGAAAACAGAGGAGACTGAGGATTTCAGAATATTGCAGAAAATCCACCTGCTATTTGTAGATGACAATAGATGGTTACATACTGTGGCTATGCATGTGATATAAATAGAATGGATTAGATTAGATACAATTGAAGATACAGTATAAATCAAATAATCTAAAAGCATAGCAAGACAACAGCACTCTTATTGGTAACCTTATACTTACATTACAATAAAAGGCAAATCTCAAATTTCAGTTAGCAATCCTTCAGGATAATGGGTCAATATAGTGGTGATGAAACCCAGTAAGGGCTCTATCTTCAGCACAAATTGGACCAAGAATTAGGGTGACCAGATGTCCCAATTTTATAGAGACAGTCCCAATTTTTAGGTCTTTTTCTTATATAGGCTCCTATTACTCCCCCACCCCCATCCAGATTTTTCACATTTGCTGTCTGGTCACTCTACCAAGAATCTGGATATATGAAATATATAGTGAAACCTGTTTTAAGTAACCACTGAAGGGATTGACATTTGGTTGCTTAATTGAGGGGGTCTTTTAATAGAAGTGGAGCTGAGCTGTACTTAGTACAACTGAGGAATAGTTTGATGTCATCCCTTAAAAGAGAGGGTAGCTTTTTAGGGTAGTCTTGAATATAAGTATGGTTTAGTTGTCCAAAAGTATGGATTGGGAGCGTTCACCTCACAGTCTCCTCAGTGATAATCTCCAGCAGTTGCACTGCTAAATTTACCCTCAAAACAAAGTGGTTTATTTCAGGATAAATTTTTCAGAGTTTTGCCTGCAATAGACTGAGATGGAAATGCTCTGTCAAAGAAACTCTTCTTTACAATGAGGTAATATCTTTTAGTGGACCAACGTCTGTTGGTGAGAGATACAAGTTTTCAAGCTTAAACAGAGCTCTTCTTCAGGTAATCTGAGGAAGAGCTCTATTTAAACTCAAAAGCTTGTCTCACTCACCAACAGAAGTTGGTCCAATAAAAGAAGATATTATCTCACCCACATTGTCTCTCTAATAGCCTTAGACTGACACGGCTGTAACAACACTGCATATCTTTTTTACAATATCCATTGACTTCCCTGTTGCATCACCAGGCTTAAGTCCAGAAATGTTAACAGTTCGTGCCATCTATAATAGGATCTTAGCTCCCCACCACAGCTGCTGCTATTAAAAATCTTCTGTTTTACACATCACAGGAAGTGTGACAAGCATTGTATTTCCCTTTGTAGTGTACCTTCCATGTATTTCATTGCGGTGGCCAGTAACAACAATGTTCAACCTACAGGAAACTGAAGTGAGCTGTAGCTCACGAAAGCTTATGCTCAAATAAATTGGTTAGTCTCTAAGGTGCCACAAGTACTCCTTTTCTTTTTGTTCTCTTTAATTAGCTAATGTTTCTGCATTTCTCACATGATTGGGGTGAAATCCTCACCCTGTTGAAGTCAGTGAGAGTTTTGCTATTGACTCAGTGGGGTCAAGGTTTCACTCCTGGTGCCAGGTTGATTTTGAACTGGTGTAACTCCATAGACATTTTTGAAGTTATTCCTGTGAAAGTGAGCACAGAATCAGGCCCATCAAGCTCTACCAAAATGCTAAATATAGCTGAGCTGCTATATTGCTTTTAACAAGGGCTTCCAGAAAAATTGTGCTGTTCTCAAGAGTTCCAAGAATTCTAATGTTCTTGGTTTGAACAGGGTCTTCCAGGTGCACAGATCTTGGTCTGCCCCCACACCTTGCTTCATAACAGTGTTTTTAACCATTGTCATTTCCAACACCACTTTTATCTTCTTCAGCCTCCAATTTTATCTGTCATGCTTATTTTAATTCAAGAATTCTTATGTCAATGGTAAGTTTGTCCCTGGCTGCATGTGTGCATAAGAGAGAGAATTAGCCTCTATGCAAGTTTATGGTAGTTTGTGTGAATACAGCATTATATGGGCATTAACATCAGTACGTGGCACCACCATAGTGCATGTCATCTGAGGATATACTTTACAAAAGTGGATACTATTATTCTTTGTCTACAGATGGGAAAACTGAGGCACAAAAAGCCAAAGTAACTATCCCAAGGCCTTTCAGCCAATACAGTATAGAAGAAAACCTGTCTCCTGACTCCAAGTGACTTGCTCTAACCACTAAACCATGCCACCCAAGTTCCAGTTAGCCTCTGTGTGCCAGCCCCAGAGTCTTCCTCTGTCCACGGGAGCTGTTATGCTTTCTTTTCACAGATCCAACGGTTTGGTACAGAACAAGATATAGTACCCACGACAGTTAATCCGATTACAGCACAATCAGAGGTGTCACTATTCAAACCTATAATAAATCTGTGTGGAGAAGAGAAAGAGATGAGAATCAGGGTATTCATTCCTATTATTCAGATTTATCCAAAGTTCATGCAATAAACCCAAGGATAGACTAAGGTATTTCACCTTCTAGTCAGAAGATTCCTGATGAGTGATGGAAGCCACTTCATATTGACACCTCCCTCAATCTCCACATTTCTCACACACACACACTCCTCAGTTTACTATCCAAATCTCCCTCTGATGCACACACAAATACAGTGAGTTCTTTATCCAGTTCTATAGGATAGCCTGGGAGATTCTCACTCTCTAGACCAGTGGTCCCCAATTTTTTTCTGTTCCCCTCCCATCCCTCCCCCTCTCCCTTCCCCCGGGTAATGGAAAAATCTGTCCACACTCCCTAGGAGTCACGGCCAGGGTCACAGCCAGAGTTGTGGCCAGGAGCAGGGCCTAGCCAGAGCTGCAACTGGGGCCACGGCCAGGGCCAGGAGCAGGGCTGAAGTCAGGGCCAGAGCTGTGGCTGTGGCGGTGGCTGGGAGCAGGGATACAGTCAGGGCCAGGGTTGGAGCTGTGGCTGGTGGAGAGGCTGGGCTCTGGGGGAGGAGAACATGTGAGTATCTGGGTAAGTGGGGGCCCTATGGCTGGGCTCTGGGGGGAGAGAATTCGGGTATCTGGAACGGGGGTACCCCGTAGGTGGGTTCTGGGGGAGAAGGGGATTCAGGTGTATTGGCAGGGGGGAGGCCCCGTGGCTGGGCTCTGTGGGAGAGGGGTTGTGGGTTTCTGGCCCCGCAGCTGGACACTGGGGGTGGGGGAAGGGGGCAGAGAAACAGGAATTGGGTTGTCATATAGGTTTCTTTAACTCTACTCCTTGGGGATTTTGTGTGTGTGTCTGTATTGTTACAGACATACCTGCTGACAGGTATTTTGAAATAAATTACCAAAATAATTAAAACTGGCATGATTATATAGTGTTATTTTGACACATAATATTTGCAGAATTTTAAAATATCATGCACAGAATTTTTAATTTTTGGAGCAGAATGCCCCAAGGAGTAGCTTTTTAACCTTAGCATCAATTTTGCCTGTGTTATTCTTCCCTTTTGTAGGCACAGGAAAATCCTAGCCTGTGTTCTGTCCCTTTCTCCACAGTATACCTGTGGCAGATACCTCAGAGGAAATAATTGACACTTGGAGGTATAATAAGGAATAAACGTACATGTCTGTGTTAAACTCTGTGTTGTCAATCCATTTCCATCTACCTTCAGCGCCTCTGATTGACAATCCAATGAAGTGATCTTCAGCTTTTGTGTTATTATGGAGGAACTCCTGCAAAGGAAGCATACAGTGAGTTCTGAGAATTCTCACCTGTGGCCAGAGACAATTCAATAGCATTAGCATCTATTTGGGGTGCCACTAGGGGTGATTTGCTTGGGTTTGTCCAGATTGTCCTAGCCAAAAACTGTTTTCCTAGTCTAGACAAACCAAACATGACCAAGGGATCCCCAGTAGCCTGCTGCAAACCCAGCACAAAGCCTATTAGATCCCATCCCCCATTGGAAACTCTCTGTAGGACAATGCTCTCACAGGGCTTTGTCTAACAGATTTGCCAATGTCTCATAAAAGGACCCTATGAAATGAAAGGTGCATATTACAGCATATTTCCATTGTGGGCTATCTGGCCACATTTCAGAATGCCTACCTGTGGCTTTATGCCTCTCCCCAGTCTCTCCCCACTCCAGCTCCCTGCCAAGTACTTTGACATCTGGTGATGTTGCCATGCTCTTCTTACCTTAGACACAGGGGGCCTGGCTGTTGTATTGCTGGGCCCTGCCTCTCTGCATGCTTATTAAAATCACGTAGTCATGCTAGCCAACTGTGCATTGTAGTGCATCATAAATCCTGGAGTGGGTGTGTTAGGGGGCTTATTCCTTCACCCACTTCCTTCCCTGGTCCTTCTCGCATGAACAGAGAGCAACAATACCCGAAGTCCGAAGGTGCAAACAATTCAATGTTTATTGGGGTGAACTTCCAGCAAGCATGATTCCAGTTTCCTTCCTTAGTGTCCCCCTTCCCAGCTCTGACACCACAGAGCTTTACACCTGTGTCCCTGTTCCCATTCCTGCCCTTAGCAAAACATGATTCCAATTTCCTTACCCCCATTCCCTGTTCCCATTTCCCCCTTTAGCAAAACATGATTCCAATTTCCCCACCCCCATTCCCTGTTCCCATTTCCCCTCCCCACACCCACCCACACACTCCCTGATTGACTGCCGACTATATAGTAAAACTTGAGTTCTGCTTAGCTATACCTTAACGAATCATTTTCCTGAAATTTAACTAAAACGACAATCTTAACGTATTGTAACATGACTATGTAACCAATTATATCCCACCACCTTAATTAGTTTACACCCAGCAAAATTAATTATACAGCAGACAGGAACAATCACAGAACCAGACAGAGATTATACAGACAAACAATAGCAAAGTAGGAACTATAATGACAAAACAATACAGAAGTGAGGATTTCACATCTCAGCTAGTGATAAGTGAGTTCTTGCAAGATAGGATGCTATCAAACTAAGTTTCCTTTTACATTTTCTAGGCACTTCCCTTTCTCTGGAGGTGATAGGCACTATCAGGACAGAATTGTATTCCTAACAGCCCAATAGCACCTTCTTTCAATGTGACTTGTTTGGAATGTGAGGATGTGACTGGTTGCTTCCCAGCTTATGGCTGCCTCTGCTGCTTAGCCAAAGGCCTTAGCTTAAGAACAGGGCCTCAGACTGTCACAGTAAGAGAAGGACCTTACACCGGCAGACAGTGATTTTGATTCTTTCTTTTATACCTCTATAACTAGCCAAGTGATAAGACTACACCTAAATTCTTCGAGTACAGGCCTTTACCAGCAGGCCTGAATATCTATATCCTAACAGGGTATCTTTAATTAGGTAGCAGAGAAGCAGGTAATGCATCTGGGCCTGCACAAAGAAAGCTGAACCCCTGCGTTGGTACTAAGGTAGGGTGTAGCTAAGGAGGGAAGGGGAGAACTTGGAAGAGTGCAGATAGGAAACATGCATGGGGAACTCAGAGATGGAGAAGACAGGCTGGGAAGCTCTTTGAAGCAGAGTCCATGATTCATTTCCCACAGGATTATACGCTCTTTCTACAATAGCTCTCACCAGTTCCTCTTTGCTGTTGATGATCACTAAACTAGAGTTTGCTTCAGAACATGCTCTTTGACTGGCATTCCAAGTCTTTTCTTGAACAGAAAAGAAGTAGCATTTCCCCCTTTGAAATGTCCACCGGTTCGGGCAGTCTGTAGGAAGGGCACACACAAAGAAAGAGGGAAATACCAATATGTAATTGGCAGGAAAAGAACTCTTCTCTCCCAATCACATTTTACAGCAAACATCAGACTCTCACTGCACTGATCTTACCTGTTCTTCCCCCAGTGGTTGAAGACTTAGAGTTCTCTGGTGAGTCATCAGTGGAGAAAATCTGTGAAACTGAACACAAACCTAGTTTTTAGTCTCTGATATCTTTAATGCTATGAAAACATACTTGGCAATAAATGTTTGGTCAGCATTTGCTCTTCTTGATTTATAAAGTGCAAGATGCCCTATGACAGTGGTTTTCAAACTTTTTTTCTGGGGACCCAGTTGAAGAAAATAGTTGATTCCCATGACCCACTGGAGCTGGGGATGAGGGGTTTGGGGTGTGGGAGGGGCTCAGGGCTGGGGCAGGGGGTTGAGGTGAGAGGGTGAGGGCTGTGGTTTGGGGCCAGGAATGAGGAGTTCAGGGTGTGGGAGGGGGCTCTGGGCTGGGGCAGGGGATTGGGGTGTGGGAGGGTTTCAGGGCTCTGGGCTGGGGGTGCAAGCTCTGGGGTGAGGCTGGGGATGAAGGGTTTGGGGTGAAGGAAGGGGTTCTAGGTTTGGGGAGGCTCAGGGCTGGGGCAGGGGATTGGGGCATGGGGTTGGGGTGAAGACTTACCTCTGGCAGCTCCCGGTCAGTGGCGCAGCCCGCGGGTAGAGGCTGCACCCCGGAAGTGGCCAGCAGCAGGTCCAGCTCCTAGGCGGAGGTGTGCAAGCAACTCTGCACAGCTCTCGCCCGCAGGCACCGTCCCCCGAGCTCCCATTGGCTGGTTCCTGGCCAATGGGTGTGCGGAGCCGGTGCTTGGGGTGGGGGAAGTGCGTGGAGCCCTGTGGCCCTCCTCCCTAGAAGCCAGACCCGCTGCTGGCCATTTCCAGGGTCTTGGAACAGGTGTTGGAACAGGTAGGCACTAGCCTGCCTTAGCTGGGCAGCACCGCCGATGGGACTTTTAATGTCCCGGTCGGCAGTGCTGACCAGAGCGACAGTTCCTTACATGCAGCGACCCAGTACTGGGTCATGACCCAAACTTTGAAAAACACTGCCCTATGAGACATGTCAGGAGAGACCATTCTTGTCCTGGAAATCTTGTGACCTGAACAGATGGGCAGCACAACACAGGCACTGGGAGATCCACAGGAAGGTTCTGTCTTGGTGGGGTTTTGTTTATTTGTTAATTATGGGGTGGATGAGAGCATTTTACTGATGTGGGCTAGTGTGTTTCAGGGAAGAAGTGAGTTTTGAGGAACGATTTGAAAGACAAGAAGGTAGGTGACTGTGATGTAGTGTCCCCCACTGCAGAGAAGAGACAGGGCTTAGCTGTAATAAATATAAAGGGGTTTCTTTGTTGGAGCTGCTGGGACGAAAATAGAGCCTGTGACCCTGTTGCTTCCGGATGGATTGGCTAACACAGCCTGGGCTGAGCAGGCTCACCTTAAGTCCTGGCCTGGACCAAGCAGCCATGAAGGGGACTACTGTTTGCACTGCAGGTGCTGGCATTCTGGGACAGGGAATGCTCCCCAGGCATGGGTGGCCAAAATACTGTGTCTTCTTTCCAGTAAAAAACTGCCCCATGCCTGGAGACCATCCCCAGCCTGTGTCTTCCCTTACACAGACCTCTCTAACCTCATCACCTGTCTGGTAAAGGGTCAGTTTTGGCCCGGCTGAACACAACCACATTAAAAGTTATATCCAGACAAGCAAAAAGACAGATCATTTACAAAACAGGTCAGGACATGTTCAGCATCCTAAGCCAGCCTGGGTGGAGGGCAAAAGAAAAGCCTGAGAAAAGATGATGTTAGCGGTGAGGTTGGATTCTTCGATGGATCCAAGGGAGCAAGGGGAAGAATGGTAGATGATGAGGGCATAGCTGTGCAGGGCCTAGAAGGGGAGGATGAGAAGCATGTTTTGCTATGGAAGGTAAGAGGATGAAAGGTGGAGGAATTCAGAGAGGGGAGGGACATGGTCTGCATGGTGGGTGAGGAAAAAGATTTTCCTTCAACAGTGGTCTAGATGCTCTAGTCTGGAGGTGGATTGTGATGGGGATCAGGAAGTCCAGAAAGAAAGGAATTGAAGGAGTTGAGTGTGACGTTGCACCCCTTAATGCTTCATAGAAATATGCTTAAGAATGTAAATGTGACATAACTGGATATTTTATGCCAGATATGCCATGTAACATATCTTTGCAAAGGTTATGTTCTTCTGTGTGTATTCATCCTATTTGTATGCATGTATCATTTTTGTATTCAAAGTTATGAATATTGGTTGTGTACTTGTTTGATTTTAAGTAGCCTCAGTGAAGCATTTGGTCAGCTTCTTGAGAAAAGACTATTCTCAGTAAGTGCCCAAACAAGAAACACTTAAGCTGACAACAGACCTTGATAGAAGCCAATTCACATCTGAGCTTTCCTGGCTGTGCAGCTTGGCCTGTAAAGTTCTGAGTCATGCATGGACATGTGACTTGCCCATGTGACTCCAAAACTTCATTTTGTAGCTGTAATTCTATACAAGGGGAGAGGGGGGTTTCCACCCAGAAGAGAGAAACTATATAAAGTCCTGGGAGACCCCTCCATTTTGTCTTCAGCTGGCTCAAGAGTTAGCCTCTGCACCACCAAAGAAACTGGAACAAAGGACAGTAACCACAGGGGTATGAGTGGTTGCTGGACCCAGACTAGAAGGAGACTAATGTGTAAAAGAAGCTTACTGGAACATCTCTGAGGGTGAGATTTCATCTGTAATCACTTTCTTACTGTATTAAGCTTAGATTTGCATATTTTATTTTATTTTGCTTGGTAATTCACTTTGTTCTGTCTGTTATTACTTAGAACCACCTAAATCCTACTTTTTGTATTTAATAAAATCACTTTTTACTTATTAATTAACCCAGAGTATGTATTAATACTTGGGGAAACAGTTGTGCATATCACTCTATCAGTGTTATAGAGGGCGAACAATTTATGAATTTACCCTGTATAAGGTTTATACAGGGTAAAACAGATTTATTTGGGGTTTGGACCCCATTGAGAGTTGGGTATTTGAGTGTTGGAGACAGGAACACTTCGTAAGCTGTTTTCAGTTAAGCCTGCAGCTTGTGGGGGATGAGGTTCAGATGTGTTTGTAGCAGGCTAGCATGTCTGGCACAACCAGGCAGGGCCCTGAAGTCCCCAGCTGACAGGGAAAACAGGTTCATAGGTAGTCTCAGCACATCAGGTGGCAGTTCCCAAGGGGGTTTCTGTGATCCAACCTGTCACAGTGAGCTTCCTGGTCTACAATGCAAAATTAAAAAGGCTGAGATTTTCCTCTTTGCTGCGCCCATCATTTTCCCCAAGTCCCCGAACACACACACACATGCCAAAAATTAGAGGTTAGGAAGCTCTGGAGATAACCAAAGCAAGGACAGGTTTTATTTCATTATTATGGTTGCTGGGATTATTGGGAATGGCAGCAGAGGGCTCCTCATTGAACCCTGACCTGCAAAAAATGGTGAATGGCCAGAAGACTGTCACTTCTTTGGACCAATGGCATAATCATAGGCCAGAAGTGCAGGGAAGGGCTTCAAGGAAAGCACAAACACAAATCCAGGCATAAAAAGCACAGGTATACCTATAGCAAACAAGGTTCAGGTCACAGGGGCAGACAGGAAAAGACCTTGTATCCCAGGTGGATGCTGCTAACCATTTCCCATCCACCATGATGAGTGAGGGACAATCCCACCTCTGCAGCCCCTGCCCCAGCTGGGACGCAAACACAAATATTAGTATCTCTCTGGGCAAATATCCCAGCCAATAGGGTACTTTGCAGAAATGGACATCAGTGATGGGGAATCAGGAACATAAACCAAAATTCCCTTTTGCCCCCAGAGAATTTCACAGCAAATCCCAGAAACTCACTGCCTGGACATTACCTGTTCTGTTCCCCTCAGTTGTGGAATTGAGTATCCTCTGAAAACCCAGAGTTGGGAAGATCTGTGGAACTGAACACAAGCGCAGCTGTTGGTCTCTGGGAGATGATTTGTAATACTCAATATAAAGTGCACCTGTGGTGATAACTTGTTGGATGGCTGTCCATTTCTTGTTTTACTTTATTATTATTAATATTGCATTTGGGAACCCCAAGGATCTCAGCAAGAGTTTGTCACTGCCTCCCATTCCCAAGACACTGGAGCATGCCCTTAGCCTTAGGATGGCAAATAATACAGTGGGAAAATATAGCGTTCAGGGGAGGAAGTAATGCACCTCTGACATTCTAACAAATAGCATCGAGCGATAAATGATCAGACCCATGCAGAGATTTAGGCAAAAAGAGAGCGGGAAGAGGTCAAGGACACAAGCAGAGATACAGACAACAAGTTTAGGTGGAGTTATGAGCATAGGAAGTGATGCAGGCACATGTACAGGCAAAAGAATCATGGGTTCAGATGCAAACTCAGCACAATGAGAGGCACAGATAGTAAAATTAAGAAAAAGAACAGGCACAGACAAAGGTGCATGTTAAGGCTGACTGCCCAGCTATCATGCTTTTCTGTTACAAGATGTGTGGCTCAGCTCCTGTCCCACATGCTATAGTTTCCACAAAGCATGAACTTCACATCACAATCATGGAAGCAACCGTGAATGTCTTTGAGGAAAGGGCAGACCTAATCCGTACTTGGGGGTGCATATAGATTTGGGGATAATTATAGTTCTCTAAACATGCCATACCACTGGATTCCCATTGGCAGTGGAACCTGTTCATCAGCACACAGCACATGATGGCCATTCACTGAGCATCTCCACTGGTTTAGATGGAGATGCTTGCAAACTCCAGTCTTTTCTTTCTCTCCCACTTGCCGTAAACATACATAAACCATTTCCTTTGGTAGCTATAGACCCCTTAGGAAATTGTCAGTTCATAGTAAAATAGGAAACTGACTGTGGCAGTGTTGTGCAACAAAGTGAATATGTGCCTGCCAGATTAGTCACTTCTGAGCCAACCATCCCCCTTTCTTTCCATTTATGCATTAACTGTGTCTCAGTGGAGTTGGTGGGGGTGTAATTTGTCAATTTGGCCTATAGGGAAGTAACATCATAGAAAGAATTTTTGTAGAATACATACAAATGGGGGAAATATACATGACAAACATATATATATACATATTGATGTATAACACACATATCAAACAACATTGGGAAGCACTTTTGTAACCCACTGGTCAGTGTGTGTTACAGGAACCCCTGTGGACTAATCCATAAAGGATGTGAGTGTTACAGCCACCAGCTACAGGAAGTTGAGTTTTTAGTTCAAGCGGTAGCAGCTTGTGCTTTTAATAATGGAGGTCCCTGGTTCAGTTCAAATGTGTCATCCAAGAGGGCAGCCCTCACACTTCTACCATCACTATATGGATATATTATTTGTAAATGGTGATCTCCTCTGTATAGGTCAGGGTGTGTTTTGTGTATGAGTTGTATAAGCAAAGAAACTGATGGTTCTCTCTTCTCTGAGGTAGGAAGTTGCACCTTCCAGCAAACTTCTTCCTTTGACTATAAGACAGGATTTAGTTATTATGAAATACAAACATATACAGCAGATAGTCTGCACCTCAGCTAATAAGCCAATTTACACACCAGCCACTGTATGGACCAATGCAGCTCACATGGGTGAGAGACATCTCGCTGTTGCCTTGTGCTCCCCCTCCCCATCTATTGGTTGTAGCCACCTGCTATCTCTTGTCTTGTACTTAGGTTGCTAGCTCTTAGGGGAAGGCTCTTTTTTGCTGTATGTTTGACACTACCTAGCACAATGGGCCCCGATCCCTGAGTGTGGTCTCTATGCCCTATGCAATACCAATACCAAACCCTATCTTAACTGTCAATTCCCATACTTTCAAACACTTTTTAAAGTTTAATATTATCTTGAATTTTCTGTCTCTTAAATGTTTAGGTTTTGAGAACCACAATGTTATCTTACATGTTTTCCTGTAAGTTATGGATTTTTTTCTTGGCTTTAACTCCATTTTACCGAAGTCTTTTGTCTGGGAATCTCTCCAGGTAGGTATAAAGATGTAAATAATCAATACCAATTGCAAAATATGGTCACAAGCACCACAGAGCAGCTACTCTCATCTTCACACCATTGGCAAAACCCATTTGCAGGCTAAAAAGACAGATTGGCCAGATGTGTCTTGCACTGTGTTAAAAATAGCAGAATGTAAGCAATGGTAGCGAGTACTAGGACTCAGAGCCCGCCATTAAAATGGCGCATCCCTCCCTTCCTAGAGTTCAGCCATAGAGATAGTCAACAAGAGCATTTAAAGGTATATGGGAAGAAGAGATATCCAAGATAGTGAAGTCCCTGGCCACTTATGGATTTATAGATAATCATCAACATCTTGAATTGCAGCTGGGCGGGGAAGGGAAACCAGTGTAAGGCACAGAACACAGGCATTGTGTGTTCACATCAGTCTGTCATTTAGACAGGCAACCAAGTTCTGCACTAGCTGAAGGATATGAGTTGTTTTCAAGCATAGTCCAATGCACAGTTGTCCACCCTGGAGATGGCAAAGGTAGTAACAGTAGTATGGATAATCTTGTTGAATGCCACCCTGTGGGATTTACATGGGCCTTGCCTGAGGCAGTGAGATTTAATTACAAGATCCCAGAGAATGTAAATTCCACTTGAGAAATAACAAATATTGACTGATACTCACAATATACCATGAACAGGGGCGTTCCTGCAAGTTTAATGGCCACGATGATCAAGCCAGGAATCACCAGCTGCCAGTTCATATTATTCTGCATTTTAGCCCTGAAAAGTTTAAAATGACACCATTTACCACTTTGCAAGTGTTCTCCATTGCCTCCTGGGATCTGCACTCATCTCAATGATATCTGAGCACACATGGATCTATGGCAGCTTGTCATGAAATAGAATGGGTGCCATCATTTACTAGTAAAGTTTGTACTAGTAAAGTACTAGTTTGTTTTATTTTCAGTTAGTCCCTTCATTCCTTCTTCCAGTCAGACTAAAGCTATCTGCGTCACTGCTGTCTGGTTTAACAAACTACTGTCCTTGGAAGAAGATTCTAACATTCAACTGATTATTAGGTTGGCAGCACCTGCAGGTATAGCTACATTGCAAAAGTAGTATGCAATAACAGAACGGATCACAACTGAAATCAGGTCTCCCCAATATGGATGAACTTAGATTCTCTGAAAACGATTACCTCATACAGTAATTTCAGTCACCATTATAAAACCAACACTTGCCAACAACGGTGGTGGACTTAGAATTGGAAATAACTGCAATAACTGACATACCCTGGTAACTTAATAAATGGTATCAGTTGACATTTTAATGGAGATCTCGAGTGAACTATTTGCTTCCTGTATTAACAATTCCACTCTTGATGGTATCTGCCCTCAGACTCTTAAGATCTCTGTGCAGCTCATAAGCTTGTCTCTCTCACCAGCAGAAGTTGGTCCAATAAAAGATATTACCTCACCCACCTTGTCTCTCCAGTATCCTAGGACCAACATGGCTACAACAACACTACAAACTGAGACTCTTCAGTCTATTGAATGAGCAAATTGCCACGGAGGCCAAAACAGTATTCATTTGAATCTGCAACTGGCCAAAAGATTGTGTCTCAGTCTATGAGATGTACCTGGTCACAGTGATCTACATATTTGTAACCTCCAGGCTTTATGATTGCAACTCATTATATTGAGGAATGAAGCAGCCCACGTGAGAAAGCTCCAGCTCCCACAGAATGCTGCTGCTCATCTGCTTAGTAACACAGATTGGCATGAACATATCACACTGGTTCTCTGTACTCTCCAGTGACTACAGAGTCCAGTTCAATGTTCTGTCCTTATATTCATAGCCCTCAATGGGACAAGCCCTAGGTCCCTGTGGCTGTGCTTATATTAGGATTTTTTTTCTAAAATTTCCCACTGGTGTTATCACTGTTTCAGCTCTACCAGTCACAGCCATTGTGGGACTGCTGGAGTAGACAGGGTTCCTGGCAGTTGCTAGCATTTTCATCACCATGCCATTTGACCCTGCTCACAGCAGGTCTAGATGACAGTGGTTTAAATGTTAGTAGCTGTGGGTACCTTGCCTACAGTAAAACTCCTATGACTGCCTCCACTGGTGAAGCTGAAACAAGTGGTTAGCAACAGTAGAAAATTTTAGGAAATAAATTCCTAGATTGGAAAAGACCTCCCAGAGCACATCTTCCTCCACAACTATGACCTCCCTCACCAGCTACGTTCCACTGGAACAATAAAACTGTTGACTAAGACGGGGAGGATTGTGGATGCAGGAGAGAGGACTTTCACAAAAGCTGGGTGTAAACTATGAAACTCACTCCCATGAGAAATATAACCATGGACTCACCTCAATCAGAACTAAATGCAAAACTAACTCCTTCAACTTCATTCACCCCCCCCCCCCAAAAAAGTTCTTTACACACCCCAATAAACTAATCAAGCTGTTTCTCTCACAGGTTAGGAAGGAAGGAAGAGAGAGAGATTGTTCTTGTTATTCCTGTTGTAAATACTTGGTAGGTGCTCAGATATTCAAGTAACATTTAGGTACAGAGAGAGACAAATTATTTAATCAGAGTGTGCCAAATTAATCTGTAATGTAACAACTAAACTTCACTGAAGTTGCACAAGACCTGAATTTGGCTCAAAATGTCTATTCAAATTTTAGTACCGGTACAATAAAGTAGATAATCTATTCACAATGACTGAATCTCTACAGATAAATTCCACTGGGTATTAACAAAGGTGCGATTCCAATGCAATAACTAGGGCAACTAACATACATCCCTTTAAATTGAATAAGGTAGTTCTTGCATATTAATCATGTAATGCAGCCAAACAGTTATTATACCTGGGATACCACTAGTAAGAGACCTGGATTCAATTCCCTGCTCTGTCACAGGCTTCCTGTGTAAACTGAGGAAGTCACTTAGGCTCAGATCCACAACAGTATTTAGGCCCTTAACTTTCATTGACTGAATCCTTCCAGGACAGTTTGCAAAAGCAGACAGCATCTATATAATGATGAAAGGAGATGGTATGTGATGGGGAATATTTCATTAAAAAACCCAGAACTTTAACATTTTTTTTCAATAGATTGGAATAAAAAAAACAAACCTTGTTTTTTTAAAAATCAGCCTGTTGGAGAAAGTGCCACTCCCCTGCCTTACTCTGGACCCTTCAGCCCCATGAAGACAGCAGCACACACCATTCTGAGCAGTCACATCTCCCAGGTCATCTACAAACTTGTATCCTACGCCCAGTTCTATATATACCCTCCATGCTCCTCAATTAGAAACACCAATTGGAGTCTCTCACAATTAAGAGACTGTGAATCTTGCTTATTCCAGCCCACTGAAATCTTTGCAATCCCAGGAAACCATTATAGTCATAAAAGGCAGGAGAATTACAGGAAGCAAGCTACACAAATAAAATGGAACAGAAGTACTTCTCAGAAAGAGCTCACCACACTGAGGGGATAGTTCAAAAATCTTTTTCCATCATATCTCGGTCTGGAATGGATGCTGTGGAAAGGAATTAACAGTATGTGTCCTTTGGGTCTTGATCACAATTTTTTATATTTCTTGGCTTCCTTGGCAATCACGCTGTGGTTCCTTTTGTGTATGTGCCTCTCTCTCTCTGTCTCTCAGAAGAGAATCAGTGTCTATGAAGGCTTCCTCTTTTGTATCATTTCACAGGATGGGTGCTCTTCTAAATAGCTTGAGGTTAGGAAACACATCATGCCTTCACAACAGCTAAAGAGCTGAGACAACACAATGATGGTTTAATTTCTCAAGTGATTTAATCAAGGAGAAGAGAGCACAATACTTTATATCTGCCCACACTAAGAGAGAAATGTGGGGTTCAACATTTCTGGTCATTCCCTGTCACTCCCAGACTAAAGGGTAGCTTGAGAAGTTTAATGGGACACTTAAAATGATGCTGAAAACTTTTGTAGATCAGCAGCCACATGATTAGCCTAAGTAAGCGTTTACCTTATCTGCTGTTTGTCTATAGGGAAATTCCCCAAGTTTCTCTTTTAAACTGCTCTTTGGAAGAAGGGCTTGAGGGACCTCTGGAACTAATGAGGGCTGAGCAGGAGGGCACTGCCACTTTGTGTGTTGCTCTATCGAAGGTACGTGTATACCCCGTCACTGTAGTGCCTGAGCACCTTACAATCTGTAATGGGTTTATCCTCATAACACCCATGTGAGGTAGGAAAGTGCCATTATCCCCATTTTACAGATGGGGAACTAAGGTGCAGCAAAGCTAATGCCCAAATCCACAAAGTTATTTAGCTTGCTAACTTCCATTGAAGTCAATGAAAGTTAGGGGCCTAAATACCTTTGTGGATCTGAGCCAAAGTGACTTGCCGCAGTTTACACAGGAAGCCTGTGACAGAGCAGGGAATTGAACTCAGGTCTCTGACTAATGCTCTAACCCCTGGCTCCTTCCTTCCTCTCATATTTTAAGAAGCCCACAGCTTGTAGTAATGAATGTGTTAACCCTCGTGTTCTACAGGGGACAATAACAGTTTATAAATTTTGCTGTTACCAATAGTCAAGCAAAAATCACAATGAATTACTCAAAAATGAATCTAACCGACTTTAAAGTCAAAGGAACAACCCAAGGAGGGCAAAAGAATAAAGTTAATTGGGAATTTTTCAGGGTCCTGGATCCTTGGCTCCAGCCTGAGCCTGAACAGCTACACAGCAATTAAACAACCCCTTAACCCAAGACCTGAGAAACCGAATCAGCTAGCACAGGCCAGCCATGGGCTTTTAATTGCAGTGTAGACGTACTACTCAAGTGCTTAATTTGTAATGAAAGAGGTGCTGGGGCTCAAGCAATTGTTTTACTTTCATAACTGATGCAAACCCAGAGGTGCTGGGGCTATGAACTGCCACGCCTAGAATCAGCCCTGGCAAGTCCTGGCACACTTTAAGCACTGAGACATACCCGTTTTGGTCAGTTGGAGCTGCTGAGTGCTCAGCACTTTGAAAGATTGGATGATTTATTTGGAAGCTTCTGTAAGAAAATGTGTAAATTTGAAATTATGCATCTAGATTTTTAACAAACCATAACTTTAGAGATACTATCAAATCAAAATTCACAATTCTGACTGATTTTTTCACCTATTATTGTTTCTATTCTATCAAATAATGCTGCTATGACTGAAAGAGATTAACATTTTTTTCCTTCCTTCACTCCAGTTTCTTTACTTTGTGCATTTGACTGCTCTTTGTTTACAGTCAGTTTCACTGTTTCTTATTTGTTGTGATTCTTTCACACAGCAAAAGAAGCAAGAAAAACATTTTTAAAAATAGGAAAATGTAATTGTAAAACACAAAAATGGCAACAAGACTTGTAGCGTGGTTGGCCGCCACCAGACTACCCCTTCATGGCCAAAGGTTGATCTACAGCCACCTGCCTCGGCTTTCCCTTTCTTCAGGGCTCCTCAAACAAACTCAAAACAGTCCAAAGGAAATTAAAATATTTTGCCACATGGGGTCCAATTTATTCAGTCTTTAAGTATATAAAATAATAAATAAATACAATTTTGTAATTATTTCTCATGGACTGGAAATTCCATTTCCGCACTAGCTCTAGAGAAAAGTTCTTTCCATGGGAGTCTTGTGATGAAGTTTATCAAGTCTCTTGTCTCAGATAGCACTTAGCCCAGTGGAGAAGTCTCACTGATGCCTCTTTCAATTTGGGATTGACGAGAGTGAGAACAACAGCATCCACAGAGATATAGGTCCATCACGATTTCACAAATCATCCATATCCTGGAGTTTTGACTGGAATTTTGACTACAGCAACCATTATCATTGAGACAACACTAGCCACAAAATATAACACATAGAAGATAAGGAAGGAGATCAGAGCTCTAACAGCTCCGGCATGGACCTCAGTATTGGGGTTGCTTAAGCTGGATATACTATGTTACATGTGCCTGATGTGTCTCCAAAGAGAGATGATTAAAACCAGGAATATCACAAAGAGGAAGAAAGATTTCAGACTACTGAAAAAAAAGTAAACAGATATCAATGATTTTCTCATTATTTTTCCAGTGATATTTCCAGTGAGATGTTCAGTTGTGTGGAGGAGAAAACTGTTATAAACACATCAAGATAATGGCACTGTGAAGAACAAGGACTCCAGCTGGGATCTCAGGAGCAGCCACAGCACCAACCTTAGCCAGAGGAAGAGGAAATGGGTGAAACTGGTTATCTTCAGGTAGCAGAAGATGCTGAACCAGATGGTAAACCAGAGACTTGACTGATATATAAACATCCAGATTGCAATTAATGTAATCTTCACTTGAGCTGGCCTGGAACCAGTATCTGGAATGGAAATGAAATAGATGCTGCCAGGAATAACAAACACTGCAGGCAAAATCTGAAGGCAGAATCAATTACAGGAGAAGACTTCTCTGTTTTTGATCCAATCAATTAAATTCACCACCACAATGAATCCATTTACATTCCCTGTAAGGAACTCAGGGTCTGTCTACTGTGATATAGAAGGGCCAGGCAGCAGTGGTAGAGTGGTCAATGGGAAATATATAAGCCCTAGGCTAATTAAGGCATGGTTCCCTGTAGACTAGGGAGGGTTGCTACAGGTTAATTGGAGCACCTGTAATCAATTAAGCCCAGTCAGGAACCCAATAAAACCCCCCTGCTTCAGGTAGTCAGGGGAGAAGGAGAGAGGATTGGAGTTTGAAGGTGTGTTGTAAGATTTGAAAGACCAGAAAACTGAAGTAAGGGAAACCCTGCCCCAACATCTAAGGACTGAAAGGTTCCCCATCCAAGGGGAAAGAGGGTAAGAACCCACAGGGGTTGAGAGGGGCTGGGGCTCAGAGTGAGGAGCAAACCTAGACCCTTCCCCTGCTTCCCTCCTCTGTCACCTTCCTGGGCCACTAGTGGGTACCTTGATGGTCTAAGAGCAGGGGCAAAGAGTGGTGTCTTAGCCTTCCTCCCAAGAAAAGTGTAGGACCCACCATACTAACATTGGCCATCTTGCCACACTACATAGCAACTAGACACCCATGGCTGGCCCAGGCTCACAGACCTCAGGTTGCAGGGCTGTTTCATTGTGGTGTAGACTTCTGGGTGTGGTCTAGAGCCTGGACTCTAGGACCCTGTGGGGTGAGAGGGTCCCAGAACTTGGGCTCTGGCCAGAGCCCAGAATTCTGCACTGCAATGAAAGAGCCCTGCATCCTGAGCCTTGTGAGCCTGAGTCAGACAAACCTCAGTGACCAAAATGATGATACAGATGCTGCTAACTTCAGTTAGTTTCATGGTTCTAACAAGAGCATCACAGTTGTAGTGCCCCATCTGTATTGGAGGCTGTTGGGTCAAAAAAGCAATGGGAGCAGTGCAAGTTGGCTGCTCAGGAGCAGCCTCAGAGTGTTAAGCATGGGTTTTTTTAAAAAAGGGGAGCCCAAACAAGCAGCTCCAGGGGGTATCAGGAGAACTCCAAGGATTCCAGGGCAGTAGAAGAGGAGTGAACTTGAGCCTGGAATGCTTTTGGGGGGGAAAGAGAAGAAAAAACAGCTGGGTAGAGCAGGTGGCAGCTTCACCCTCCACCCTCACCTTCCAGCACTGCTGTGATCAGGCCAAACAGGCAGCAGCAGAAATGGCTAGTGGAATCTGGAGGGAGGTTGCCCAGTGCTGGAAGGGAGAGAGTCCAGTTGTGAGTGAGGCAGCAACTGGCACCAGAAAAGAAGGGATGCAGTAAGTGGGGAGCCAGTGCATAGGGTCCCCCGGTGGGTGAGTTGCATCATCAGAGGGGCTCCAGGAACAGAGCCGAAAGGGAAAAAGACAACTCCAGTTCAGGAGAGACAGGAACAGTAGGGATGGCTACAAAGGGGACAGAATATAGGAAGAGGAAAGACAGTGGTATAAGGAAAAAAGAGTCAAAGGAAGAACAGCGCAGTTAAACAAAAGGAAAAACAACTAAAGAATCTCTAAGTAATTGAAAAACTATTAGAAAAACATCTCTAGAAAACTGAAAAAAGTAAAGCAAGAATGAAATGTGAAGGAAATAAGCTGTAATAAAAAGTATACTCTAATAAAAGAGAAAAATACTTGAGAAATAAGGAGGACCTGAGCTGTAGTGAAAGTAAGAACATAGCAAGGACTGTAAAAAAAAAAAAATAGTTTGGATAGCATCTGAAAGTATACAAGGTGAAGTGACAGAAATAGAGATTGTCAGAGTAAAAGTGTAAGCTAAAAGGAGCAGAGGGATAATTATTCAGTCAAGAAGCCAACACATTGCATCATGGAATCCACATTTTATTTAAGATGGAATTCAAAACTATAAACAAAGGTTGCACAAGAGGATTGCTCAAGCTATAACTAAATATCCTAATTTTTTCTCCAAACTCTGGGCTTATATAGGCTGAAAACTGAGCAACTGAAAAGGGAATTATAACTGTGGGGTTTATGTTCCAGTGTATTGTATTTTCTAATTCAAAATTCTGGTATTTCATAAATGTGAATTATTATGTTAAGGGGAGTTTAGTTAAGATAATAGTAGTTAATAAACAGTTGATAATGCTAATTTACAGAAGTTTACAATATAAATAACTAGTAGTTCCCACAAAAGCAAATAACTATGATTTACTTGTGATTATTCCCCACAAAACT